TTATGAAAGGTATTTTTTGGAATTGTGATGGGTTTAAGGACCAAAAAAACATAAGTTCGTTTCTGATTTAACTAAGGAGCATTAGCTTGATTTTATTGCTTTGTCTGAGACTATTAAAAAAGATTTTTCTCCAAATGCACTTAAAAATCTTTGTGCTGGCAAGGAATTTTTGTGGCATTGCAAACCTCCCAGAGGTAGGTCTGGTGGTCTTCTATTGGGTATTAATCTACTTAATGTAGACATTGGCCTTATTGATGAGGGGGACTTTTATATTAAGTTCCATCTATGTAATAAAGTGGATAAGTTTAAGTGAGCTTTAGTTCTGGTTTATGGGCCTGCTCAGAATGAGTTTAAGGAACAATTCCTTACTGAGTTAGTTAATATGTGCAGTCATGAAACCTTACCAATTCTTATTGGTGGTGACTTTAATATCCTGCGTAGCCATGATGAAAAAAACAATGATAATTATGATGATAGATGGCCTTTTCTTTTTAATGCTATTATTGATGGGTTATGCCTAAGGGAGATTCAAATGTCCGGTAGGAATTTTACTTGGGCAAACAATTTAGCAAATCCAACATATGAGAAGCTTGACAGGGTTTTAATGTCTACAGAGTGGGAACAGAAATTTCCTTTATCTTCTGTGGTGGCTCTTAATAGGGATATCTCTGATCATACCCCTTTACCGTTGAATACAAATTCTTCATCTCTGAGTAATGCTCAACATAGTTTTAAGTTTGAACTTGGTTGGCTTTTACGGGATGGTTTTGTTGAGATGGTGAAGGAAATTTGGTCTAGTGTTGACGAAGGCAATACTGCTATGGAGAGATGGCAGGCAAAAATTCGACGGTTACGACAGCATCTTAGGGGCTGGTCAAAACATAGTAGTGGTTTATATAAAAAAGAAAAGAAAAAAATTTTAGATAAGTTGGATTTGCTAGATAAAAAGGCAGAAAATTCCCTTTTGAGTCCGGAAGAATTGGATATTAGATGGTTTTGTAGGAATAGATTATCCTCTATTCTAAGAGAGGAGGAGATCAAATGGTATCAGAGGGCTAAATCAAAGGATATTTTAGAGGGTGATTCTAATACAAAGTATTTTCATTTAGTTGCGAATGGAAAACATAGGAAAACTAGAATTTTTCAATTACAGGATAGTGACCATTTGATAGATGGTGATGCAAATTTAAAATCGCATATTACCACTTATTATAAGGGTCTTTTTGGGCCTCCTGATGATTCTTTACTTCAATTTGATGAGAGTAGAGTTGCTGATATTCCTCAGATCTCTCTTTTGGAGAATGAGGCTTTAACTCAGGATTTCACTGAAAAGGAAATTAAGAAGGCTATTTTTCAGATGGAACATAATAAAGCGTCGGGTCCTGATGGTTTTCCTGCTGAATTTTATCAAGTTTTTTGGAATGTCATAAAGAATGACTTACTTGACCTGTTTAAAGAGTTTCACAATGGATCTTTGCCTCTATTCTCGCTTAACTTTGGTACTATCATTCTTTTACCTAAGTGTGTAGAGGCCATGAAAATTCAACAATATAGGCCTATATGCTTACTTAATGTTAGTTTCAAGATTTTTACCAAAGTTGCCACAAATAGAGTAATGAGTGTCGCCCAGAAAGTCATTAGTCCTACTCAAACTGCTTTTATTCCTGGGAGAAATATCATGGAGGGTGTGGTTATATTGCATGAGACTTTACATGAATTGCATCGTAAAAATAATAGTGATGTAATTCGAAAGATTGATTTTGAGAAAGCCTATGATAAGGTTAAATGGAGATAATTTCCAAACTCATAAAGGCCTTAGACAAGGGGATCCGTTATCTCCAATTCTTTTTAATATAGTAGCTGATATGTTAGCTTTGTTAATCAAAAGGGCTAAAGATAATGGTTCGCTTAATGGGGTAATTCCTCATCTTGTGGATGATGGTTTGTCCATTTTGCAATATGCAAACGATACTATCATTTTTTTGGAGCATGACTTACGATAAGCAAAGAACTTGAAATTGATTTTATCTGTGTTTGAAAAATTATCTGGCCTGAAAATTAATTTCCACAAAAGTGAGTTATTTTGTTTTGGTCATGCGAAAGATTGCTATGATCAATATTCGAGTATCTTTGGTTGTAAGCTTGGGTCTTTCCCTGTTAAATATCTGGGTATTCCAATGCATTTCAGGAAGCTAAGTAATAATGATTGGAAGGTTATTGAACAAAGAATAGAGAGAAAACTTAGTAGTTGGAAAGGAAAACATATGTCTGTTGGAGATAGATTGGTTTTGATTAATTCCGTCCTTTCTAGTTTAGCTATGTTCATGATATCTTTCTTTGAGATTCCGAAAGGGGTTCTTCAAAAGATTGATTATTATAGATCTCGTTTCTTCTGGCAAGGGGATGATCATAAAAAGAAATACAGATTAACTAGATGAGATATAATTTGTCAACCCAAAGATCAGGGTGGTTTGGGTGTTCATAATTTAGAGATTCAAAATATATGCCTGTTAAGTAAGTGGTTATATAAGTTAATTAATGAGAATGGTGTGTGGCAAGATTTATTGAAGAGAAAGTATCTTCATAATAAGTCTATAACCCAAGTGGATAGGAAACAAGGTGATTCTCATTTTTGGTCAGGGCTCATGAAAATAAAAAACACATTTTTAAGTATGGGCTCTTGGATTGTGAATGATGGTCAACATATAAGATTTTGGGAGGATAAATGGGTAGAAAACATGGCCTTCAGAGATAAGTATCCTTATTTATATGCTATTGTCAGAAGGAAGAGTGCTACTATTGCCAGTGTTATGGCCTCGGTTCCGCTAAATGTTTCTTTTAGGAGAGCTTTAGTTGGACAGAACCTAACTCTTTGGTATGATTTATGTGCTTCTATTGCTCACATCCAGTTGGATGATTCTTCTGATTGTTTTAGATGGAATTATCATCAGAATGGCCAGTTCTCTGTTAGATCAATGTACTTAGCTTTAATTAATAATGGTTGCATTGACAGAAATAAGTTTATTTGGAAGCTTAAGATCCCGCTTAAGATTAAGATCTTCATATGGTACTTACTTAAGGGTGTCGTGTTAACCAAGGATAATTTAGCAAGACTAAATTGGAATGGGTGTTTACGATGTTGTTTTTGTATGAAAAATGAGTCTATTCAACATTTGTTTATGGATTGTCATTATGCAAAGTTTATTTGGAGAGCGGTGCAATTCTCTTTTGGTTTATACCTCCCTAGAAGTATATCTCATATGTTTAACGGTTGGCTTCAGGGTGTGGACAAGGAAAAGAGTAAACTGATAGTTGTTGGTGCCTCGGCTTTATATTGGGCTCTGTGGTTGTGTAGAAATGATAGGGTTTTTGACAAATCACCATCTATTTCCTATATGCAGGTAATTTTCAGGGCAACATATTGGCTTCGACTGTGGGCCCAACTGCAAAAGTGTGAGGAAGATAGAGAATTCCTGTCTGTTGCATGTCGTAACCTTGAGTCAACGGTTATGTAACTTTTTACCAACCATGGATGGAGATTCACCAATAGACTGAAATAATGTTTTCCTTGTTATGTTAGGATTTCTTTTATTTTTGGTTGGTGTGCTTGTTTAATTTTGGACTGCGCCTTTTAGTGTGCTACTTCTTATAATAATTGGCTGTAGCTCTCATGAGTAAAGGCCGGGATGTTTCATTCCATTATCAAAAAAACATAAAAACATGTAGGTAGCCACTGCTGGGCTTGTCCGCGAAGGATGACGGCGCGGCGTGCCCAATTCGGCAACTTGCAGCCGCCGCACTCGCGCGCAGGCGTACAACGTTTGCAATACATGGCTTCAAGGCATGAACAACGGCTGAAAGCTACAATATTATATATAAATCCATGCAATACATGTTGCGTATACTGTATAGTGTGTACGCACATATATGTGTATCATCATGAAATGGATGTCGATGTCGTTTTCGTTTCCGAATTCCGAACGAATGTTCTAGCTAAGTGATCGATATGCAGCTCGCCTCGATCGATTCTCAGGTCGCAACGCGGGCAACGGCGGCCACATATCTTTACGATTGGTGTGTGTTCATGTTCAGTGAAAAATTAAGAAATACAAAATCAATTGAGTTAGTAAATTAAGGCACTAAATAGTTAATCTTTTTTCTAGAAAGAGAGGGCGAAGCTTTCCCCATTTCAGGTAGCGAAAATAGTAGGATGGTCCATGCATTACACGGCTAGCATCTATATAAAATTATCTAAATATTAATAAATCGAACCTTATTATCACATGGCTTTAGTCTATAAAATTCACCCCAGCTGCCACCTGATCTTACACCTCTGCCACCAATTTACCTTCTAATTTTTAGTTTTTATTGTCTCACTAGGTTATGATTTTATCGCTTTTAGAAGTCCCATCAAACACAATCACCTACTCATTTATGAGCCGCTTGCTGCCCCCTCTACTCTTCATTGTCATTGGGATTTTAACAGCCAAATCGTTTTGCTTATCCTTATGCTTATTCGTACCAATTATTAGCAAAAACAAAAGAAAAATCTGATTTTTGGGTAAAACTTTTATATGTCCGATGCTGTTGCAATGCTAAGCATTAAAACTATGGTCCTGGTTGAACCTTAGCACCCGGCATATTTCAATATAAGGGTTGCAAATCAAGAGGCTTACTGAGTAATGTAGTGTTAATGATATGATCCACTTTATCTGTCATAATGCTAAGGTAGTTTTTTCGATCCAATGTACTTCCTCTGTTTCACAATGCAAGTCATTTTAGCATTTTCCACATTCACATTAATGTTAATAAATCTAGATAGATATATATATGTCTAGATTCATTAACATCAATATGAATGTGGGAAATGCTAGAATGACTTATATTGTGAAACGGAGGAAGGAGTATCAAAGATTCATAATTTTAGTATATAATACTGTAGTATTTCAGATAGACGGTTGCTAGTTATAAAAATAAATGATTGCACCTAGATTAGTAAATAAATGAATTATAGTTATGCTGTGGGCATAGCAAATCAAACCATAATTTTGTTGGTGCCAATTCTGAACACATAAAATGCTACTGAAATGAAAAATATTGTGCATGGCCTGGTAATGCTTAGCCTAATGTTCAGTTCACTTTAGTAGAAAGCAAGTCAGGGCATCAGTCGTTATGTCTTATACCAGGAAACCTTGAGTACATAATTCCTACGAGTCAACTTCACAATTGACAAGTGGACTAAATAAATAGAGGGTCAGCTTCCAGTTTCTACATTGGGCCATTGGCACATATCTTCATAGGCCACACAGCCACCACCACCACATACAAAATGGAAGATCATGCACCAGCAATCCATCTCTGCGCCTTACCAATAAGAGTCAAAGTCTAGATACCTGCAGGAGAACAATTCCATCAGTCATTCTGGTATTTACAGTCACAAAGTTATATCACTTTTTTTTTTTGGTGCAATGCAAACTGCAACTACTATTTTCAGCATTGTGAACCGCACATCAAATTTCCAAAGTTGAATAATGTCAGTATTATTACCAGGCAAAAACAAAAAGAAGAAACAGTGAACAACGATAGAGGAACAATTGAATTGTTGGAACTATTCTCGAACTTTGGCTACATCTATCTAGCAACTAAAGGATTACTACTTCACTGCTTCATTTTGGCAGATGAGGGGCACAACCACACATAGCAGGTAGAAAGTAGAAACACCTGTTTCTAGTTCATACGTATTCTTTCAGAAATTTAAGAACCAATCAATAATTACTATGTTCAAATTAAAAGTTGTCGGAGAGGCATAAGTACACCAGCCATGTATGATTACTACCGTTTGTGATTGTACACTCAACTCTTTCTAATGTGTATCTCAATATCTCATAAGTGAAACCTCTTTTGGTCAACAAATATCATTTATCTTAGCATGGCACTAAAACAAACCTTACCAGTTTTTCTTAAACCATAATTCCTGCCATTGAAAAATTTAGTACTAAGAAATAGAAAAACTATGAACATTCAGAATGCAAGTGAGGGATCTAGTTAATTTCATCTTGAACTAGAGCTCCAAGCATCTATCAAGGAATTCTTTACTGTAGTTAGTTATCTATTTTATTTTAGAAATACGGTGGTCATCTGACAAAATCATAATCAGACAGATACTTCTTTAATCACAAATCACCATGCAAAGCCGGCTGTGTTTGGAGGTGGGTGTTGGGAACCCATCTCCCATGTACGGAAAACGGAGCGGTCCATTAGCGCGTGATTAGTTAAGTATTAGCTATTTTTTTAAAAAAATGGATCAATATGATTTTTGTAAAGAACTTTTGTATAGAAATTTTTTGCAAAAAACGCACCGTTTAGCAGTTTGAAAAGCGTGCGCACGGAAAACGAGATGGGAGTGTTGGGAACTTCCTCTTGCAAACACACCCTAACCCAAAATAGTAGACTCCACACATTAAAAAAACACACGTACTGGAGATATCACAAATGTAAACTGAATAAAATTCTAAAGGGAAGCAAATATTCCTCGAAAATTTATGTTAATAAACCTTATAACTATGGGTGCACAAGTTAACTAAAATTATTCTGCTGCACTGACCGTGTGTATATAAATGGACTAGAGTAATGCATCCTCAAGCTAACATAATCTAGTAAAAAAAAAATTAGAACTTCGTTGACAAGCAGAATGTTATCCTAGAAAAAAGATAATACAAAAAATATATGTATATATATTTCTTCCTGGTGCAAATTAATACATTTCTATGCAGGTGCAAATTAATTTCTTACTGGTGATGCTTCTGACTTTTTACCCTCTTTTGACAAGACTGAACATTAATTTTTCGAGTAAATAAAAACAAAATACCATGCAATTATTTTCCATGACAAATCTAAATACTTCTACATCTTGCAATGTTCAAAATTCAAAACAAGGTGGACCGCAAGGCTTCTAAAATGTCATCTCGCTCAAACAGGTATTGAATGAAAAAAAAAACAGTGTTACCTTCTGAAATGAGCGAGCAAATTACTTATTTGAGACGCCAGATGATTCAAATCTAGATTCTGTGCTTTTTATTTCGTGTTTATACAACTACACCTATTAATCTGTTATGCAGTTAAATGCTGAAAACATAAGTACCTGCAACATAAGTACTTGCGTAGGGATGAATTGGGGCGATGACACAACTTTCCCAAACTTTCTTGGCCTGCAACGAATCAAGTTGGAGCATGAAGACACTGTGAGCAGCCCATACAAACATCACCTTTATATCCTGAGCATACCCCAGCTTTGTTACATACTCTACATTCAACCTAATCTCCGGGTTAAGAACATTCTTCAGCTCATACGTCTTCTGCAGCACCCACTTGGCAACACCTTCAGAACAGACTTTCCTCTCCCACATTTGAAGGCTTCCGCGAGAGAAAGTGGCGACGCGAAGACAATCACCTTCTGTCAGCCAGGTCTGAGTGTAGCAATTTGGATCGGAATCGGAGGGCCACTCAATCACGGCGGGGGTTTGATCATCCAAATCAAACTGAAGAATGGTACTCCCATGATCACCAGAAGCCATCCAATACAGGGCATGGCCAACAAGTATGCCAGGATCACGAAAGAAAAACACCAAGAAGGGAGCAGCTACTGAGATGAGATCACTCCATTTGCCGGACTCCGAGCAGTAAACGCAGGCGAACATCTGTGTGTTGTTGCCGGCGACGCCTACCAACACCACCTTGAAGGGGCAAGAGCTGAACCCGTCGTCGGCATTGGCAGCAGACAGCACTGCCCCATTCCAAATGATCTTCTCCTTGCCGTCAATCTCCGGCGGAACGGCCACCCGGCGGTGGTCGCCGGTGTCGGGGACCCACACAAGGATCTCATTCTTGGCCCGGTTGAAGAGGAGGACGCGGCCATGGCGGCAGCCGTAGAAGCGCCACTGGCCGCCCTCGTCCTCGGCGAGCCGCAACCTGAAGCGCTCCCGTGGGATGAGATCCGGCGGATCCAGAACGGACCGGAAGAAGGGGTATCCGAGGTAGTCCTCGAAGACGCCGATGAGGGGTGGATTCCGGTGGCGGGCGCGGAAGCGGCGGTGGAAGGCGGGGTCGGTGACGAGGCGGCGCCAGCGCTTGCAGACGAGGGAGGCGCGGGGGAGCGAGGAGGGACGCGGCGGGAGGCGGAGGAGGATCTCCGAGAGGAGGTCGTCGTCGTCCGGCAGGGTCACCGGCGGCGCCACTGAGGTGCCGCGGCGACGGCGGAGGCGGTTCATCTCGCACGCAGCGTTGGGGTTTGGCTTGGGGGCGGCGGTGCGGTGGTGGGGAAGAGCTGGTGGGCCGGGGCTGGCGGCGGCCGGCGCCGGCGCCGGCGAACGGTGGATGGTGTGGCACAGTGGCAGTCTGTTTCGCCTTCTCCTCGGCCAATCAAAAACGATTTTTGCGGACGACCTTATTTTTCAGGAATATTTTTATTTTTTGAATTTTTTATTTCTAATTTTAAAATAAACCCTCTCAAAACTAATTTTCAAGATCTTAATTTTTAGCACGCTAGCCGGACTAGCTTGGTAAAATAATACTATCATATCAGTCTGGCTAACGTGCAATGTTATTTGATCACGCTGATCTCATTGGTGTGGTGGTAGCGTTATTTGGTCACGCCACGTGACAGGACAAAACTATCACGCTGGTTGTGTGTGGTGTTCAGTATTATTTTACCACGCCGGATGAACTAGCAGATTCTGAAAATAAGTTTTGGAAGTATCTAGTTTTAAATTTAAAAATCTACATAGTTCAAAAAATATAAAAAATATATTTTTTCATGTGGAGTAAAAACAGTTTTTTAAGGCCGTGTTAGATGAGGTTTGGAACTTCTCCACTTACCAAGTAAAAGGAAGTGGCAAATTAATACATGATTAATTAAATACTTTCTCCGTTTCAAAATATAAGTATTTTTAGCTATAAATTTGTCCGTTCAGAACAAATGTTGCTATATTTTGGAATGGAGGTAGTATTAGATAAAAACTTGAAAAATAGATTAATTGATTTTTAAAGCAACCTTTTTATATAAACTTTTTGTAAAAAAACATATCATTTAACGGTTTGGAAAAACACGCATACCGAACCAGAGATAATTAAGTTGGGAAAGTTCCCACATCCTTAAGATGCTCACATGTAAAAAGAGTTAGGAGACCCGCATGTATTTTTTTCACCCAGCTCAATTTTTTCAAGTAAATTGCACCTATGGTACAACAACCTGGCAGGTGGATACGATATAGTGTAAGAACTTGAGAATTAAATGTCCAAGTACAACAACTTAACAAGTGAAAGCGTTCTGGTATAAGAACTTAATAATTTATTAGTATTTTGGTACATCAACTTGGCTAAGCATATGCTAAGTGAATTTTTTTCACGATATCAATATGCCATTACATAGTAATCCTACGGACATTACCTTATAATATTGAATTTAATCTTTAAGAATTATACTGCACATACAATTTACATCCAATTACCTTTTAAGAATTTTTTTGTTTTCTTCACCTTCTCAAATATCAACCGAAATATAATAATTTCTATATCCAGTTTAATTGACTTTCAGCTATCAGTTATTAGGATAAAAATATAAATATTCTTATACAAATACACGCTAGTATATTGTCAAAATAAGTACTTAAAATTGAATCTATATAAAAAAATGCTCCAAATAATTAAATTGTCGCATATCTTCTTAGGTTATTGTATCAAAATCATACCTATCTTGCAAGTTGTTGCATTTATATGATCACTTATAAAAATTTTATACTACTAAATTGCACCTACCTACCAAGTTGTTGCACTAAAACACTCATTTCTCAAGTTCTTGCACTAAATTGCACTCATCTGCCAAGTTAATGCACCGTGTGTGCAATTTACTCATTTTTTCCTATATCTTCATCTCCATCCTAATTTTTTCTCTCCCATCGTGTTCGGAAGTCTGGTTTCTCATCTCCTACTCCCTCTTTTTTCATGCACCCAAGCTTACCGAACTACTATAGAAAAGGAGGAGCTTGCTTCACTCTCAACACACAGCAAAGTGGAGTACAACTCACTTTCATGTTTAGGCTGCTCTATAGTAGAGTTATAATATAGTAAAATAGTGAGAGGAAGCTCTTGAAGGAGTTGCCCAATGGTCGGAGTTTTCTCCTAGGAGTCCTAGAGGAGTGCTAGAGATGTCAACATTCTTTCCAAGGGAGATCTAGAGGAGGGTCGAAGATGTCGGTGTTTACACCCAAATTTGGCACCTATGGATGAAATAGGTGAAAATTGCCAAAGTTTGGAAAGTGTTGGGTTTCCTTCACAGGACCGGTCAGACCGCAGGTATGTGGGTGGTTTGACCACAGCCTGAACTCCGGACTGACCGCAGGTGTTGACGATCGTTAGCGATCAGTTTCGACCATCAGTACTACCAAAATAGAAGGGAACTAGTTATGCTTGCAATGCATTTATATGTTAGAATAATAATATTCCACTAGTATTTGGTTCACTAACTTTTTGCAGAGAATAACCATAAAGTGGAGTAGAATCGACATCAATTCAGACGATAAATCAATCGGACGATGTCGAGAATCAAACTTATTCATGAATGGGCCAAGAACTCAAAATTAACACGACGAATTGGGCCAAAATTCACAAGTCTGCGGAGAGGAGCAGTAGAGGAGGCCACCAGCCAAATTGTGGGCTGGATGGGCCGGCCCCTGGTTCGGCCGAACCCACCTGGCCACCGTTGGATCCAGGTTTTGGCTGGACGGCTGAGATGAAGCCCCTATGACGGTTGGAGGGTAATTCCGACCATTCCAACCGTCGTAACCGTCATAGTTCAGCTATAAAAGGGCTTCACCTCCTCACTTCCTCCACACACCTCAAGCATATTCTCTCAAGTTTAGTTTAGTGTTCTTAAGCTAGTGGAATAGGAATAGAGTAGAAATCGGAGTCCGGAAGCCTTCAGAAGAGTTCGGTTATGGCTCTAGTAGCTCTTCTCTTCTCTTTTGTAAGCTTTGTACTTTATTTAGAATACTCTTCTTTATACATTTATGGAATTGAAATACTTTCCGAGTATATGATTGCCAACTTTACATTATGTTCATGTTATATTGAATATACTACTAGCTCATCTAGGAGATGTTTTAGTGCGGGTATAATATTTGCGTATGCAATTGCTCTATGCCATGACGATGATATTAGAGTAGTATCTGGTAGTTTAGACGTAGTGTCTAGCTTACGGGATATCATTATTTGGGGTTATATGCTGCGGATGAGATGTGGGCCGCTGATAGTGACAGCTCAGTACGGGTATTCCTCCGCGCGTGTATATAGTACTAAGTTAATTTCCTGGAGAGGATACTCCTCTGTATTTAGCCCCGGTTGTATGGTTATGACGGGCTGTCGTAAGGAACTCGGCAGTCAGGGGTGGCTTCTCGAAGTACCAGGTGGGCATCGGATAGAGGGTATTAGCTAGTATATCAGATGACTAGAATGTAGTATACTATGTATACTAGAAGTATAGGAGTACATTATCTTTCTCTTTTCTTTCCACTTAGCTTAGATAATTTAGTATGAGAATGAGTAGCTTACTGCTTGTGTGTCACTCTACTCTTGGATTATCTTAACCCCTGCCTAGACTATGATTATTACAAGTAATATATAAATTATTAGTCAAGTTCAATCTACCATGATCTTCCCATGATTAAATAAATACAATACTCTTGGAATACTCTCGGGTGAAATACTACAATGGTATATCCGTGCGCTTGCGGATGAACTCTGTAACCATAATATACCAGGAGTATTTCTGTGCCATTGCTGGGAATTATATTTCTAGTAACGTCGTTAAGAAATACCAACAGCAGGTATGTGGCCGGTCAGACCGTCAGGGTCTGAGCCCGAGTTTGTTTTCGTCAGGTCTTGGGTTTCCTTGCTTGGGAAGGCTTGTTTCGGGTTTCCTTTGGTAGATGCATCTGCTACTCCTAGTTTTGCTATCTGCTACTCCTAGTTTTGCTTCTACTAGTAATCATGCACGTCCAATGCATATTTTTGATGGCAAGAGCTCCCTCACATGGCTATATTCAGTGTATCATGGCAGTGAACTTGATCCTTGAAAACATTGAGAGTCATTGTTTCTAATGGTAAGAAATTAAGAGATAACTCAGAAAGAATTTTAATGGTACCAAATGAAGATATGATTCATACAAAATGATGACACTGCAAAAAAAAATATATAAATCATGACAGCATACCTAGTAGCGTAGCCTGGCAACTTTTAGTTGCATACAAACACAACCTAAAAACCTACCCAAGCCAGATCATCTTGATTTTAGCTGCTACAAGTAATATCACGTAAGAACAAACAGGAGAAATTAGAAAACATTAAATTTGGCTTGATGAAGCTATGCTCTGCAACAGAAAATCACAGAGGAACCAACATGAGGGAATGGATGTAAGATCTGAGTATATTTCGTACGGAAAATCGAAAGGGGATTGGCAAGCAATTCAACAACCTGAAACAACTCATCTTCATGCCGATGGACGTTGTTCTGGACTTCTGGTATAAAATATATAACATGCAAAACAAAATTAGTTAATACTCCTCAGCGTTAACCAAAGGGAGAGGGGAACATGTGACAATAGAGAGATCACCAGGTTGTGTGGCAGAGTAGAAGGAGGTGAGCGGCAAGAGACGATGGGGACGGAGGGGATCGGAGAAGGGATTGACACGGCGCAAGTGAGGCAAGCGGTCTATCGACGTTGGCGCTGGAGTAATCCCTCTATCGGTTCCCTGCTTTCTCACGATTTGAGGCAGCCAGAAGCAAGATAGTATCGGTAATCAACCCAACTGGTGGAGTGCGGCGCCGGCGGGGAAGGACCTTGCCATCAGGAACCACCACGGTGCCAGCGGGGGCAGTGGAGTGGCGCGGCAAAAGGGTAAGGACTTCACCGTCGGGAACCACCATGGCGTCGGCGAGGGGAGGCTGCGGTGTAGTGTGGTGGAGGCTGGGAAGGACCTAGCTGTCGGAAAACACCACGGCGCCGGTGGTGACTGGAGAAGAAGCCGGATCCAGCGAGGGTAGCGGTGGACTTCGGCTGCGGCGGCGGCGGCTGGGGACGACGTCAGCTTCGGCGTGGGCAGCGGTGGAGTGAGGCGGCGACAGCAGTACAAGCGAGGAGGAGCGAGCTAGTCACGCCTGAAGAGGGTGAGGCTTCGCGCGGTCTTTGTGCGTGGAGAGGATGAAACCGTGCGGTGGAGATCAGTCGACGGTACGGATTACCTGATCTATGGATAGACGGTTGGGATTTAACCAGATGATTTGGCCTGTAGGATTGGAGGGGGACAATTCCTCCTTTTTATATTATTAGTATAGAAGTATAGATATAGATGTTCCATCAACCACCACCATCATACCCTATCTTAACTTATTATTAACCTTTATTCCATTATTTTATACTAGAAAAGATGCCCGTGCGTTGCAACGGGTAAAGACTTTTTGCAGTGATATATCAAGAGCTAAGTAATAAATTGAAATATTGGGATCACTATACACTATAATTAAAAAAGTTAATAAAAATCTTAACATTGGGATAGCTATATATTATAATTAAAAAAAAGTTAATGAAAATATTTCCTAGGTTTTTAGCCGAAAGCCTTCCTTCCTTTTCAGCCCTAGGCTAGCCCGCTACCTCCCTCCATTTGGTCTGCTTCTCTTCGACCCTACCATCTTCAACTTTCCGAATATGACTACCATCTTCAACCTCCCGAAGACTCCCGAAGATAATCCCGTGCCCGAAGATAATCTCGTGCCCGCACGTTTGCCAAAGCAAATCTCCCCATCAAATCCAGCCGAATCTTTCTTGGGTAACCAAAATTGTTCGAGGTTTTTGATCCACTCAATCTACTCTTTCCGTTTTCTCCAAAATCAGAGCGTAAAATTCGGGATAAAAATGACCGGGGAAGATCGCCGTCAAAATCGGCAACTTTAGAACAGAGATTAAATCCAACAATTAAAGCTAAATCGAAGGGGAAATCATTGAGAAAATGGTGAGAGAGGAGTAGGGAATCGATTTTTACAATTAAATTGGAGGAAAAAACACACTATCGATATGGCAGCGGCGTGGTGCTAGGGTTCACCTCGGGAGGCGTGCGACGAACAGATGGGATTATAAAACCGGATGAGACAAACAAAAAGTACACGGGAGAAAAAACCGGTGACAAAAAATATTGACGAAAAAACTATAAGCACCCAAGAGATGCACGGTGAATAGATCGGATTAAAAAAAGATAAAAAAAAACCAAAAGCTTTAGCCGCATAAAAAACTCTTCTACGTGCAAAGAAAAAAGGAAAAAAAACTCTGCGTGCAAAGAAAAAAGGAAAAAATAATACCGGTGCCAACAAAATCAAACAGATTTTTTGTTTTTTACTGGGAGATTTTTTTCCTTTTTCTATAGAGTCGGACAAGAGATGTTTTTTTTTACTAACTACGACGGAAGCTTTTCTTTTTTTTAATAGCTCGTTAAGTCGGACTTTCTTTTCTTTCTTTATTTACCTTTTTTGATTCGGACTTTTCTTTCTTTTTTTTTACGTATATAAGATGGGAATTTTTTTAGTAGAGGTATAGATTAAAATCAAAACATAAAACTAAAACTGTTTCAAACACGGATGACGTACCAAAATTCTGGCAAAAACACCTTGAACTTTTATAATAGGTAAAGATATACACCCTATCTTAATTTATACATATATTTATTATTAACATGTGGGTCCTCTTGTCCCACACTGTTTTATTTCCTTCTAATAAAAAATAGAGATTTTGTAGAGGTTGATATGTGGAACCTCTAGCCTCACTTTTTTTCTGCAATCTAAAAAGGCATGGACTTAGTGGTAGGGGTGGTGGCAGATTCATTGCTCACCACCACCACTACTAATTTTTTTAGGAGTATAGATGTATTATTGTTATAATTTTTTGAAATATTAATTTATTTGGGGTTAGTATTGAAATACTATTTTTGGAGTCTATTTATTTTTATTTTGAATTTTAATTAATCTTATTTTTATATTAATTTTAGTTCTATATATAAAAAACATGTTAGGATTTGCATGCTTGGGACATGTGAGTCGGACTCCAAAAAGAGTTCCTGTAGTATCGTATGTGTCCTTTTCTATTACTCCCTCTTTCATATTATAGGTCATTTGATCTTCTTTTACTCATACTTATGTAAGTCAAACTTCTGTAATTTGATCTTCTTTTACTCATACTTATGTAACGTCAAACTTCTGTAAGTTTGATTAAACTTGTAGAAAAATATACTAACATTTTCAATACAAAATAAACATATTAACAAAATATATCTAAAATTAAATTTAATAAAACTAAATTGGTATTGTAAATGTCGCTAAGTTTTTTAGTAAACTTGGTAAAATCTAAAGGATTTTGACTAAGAAAAAAGGTCAAATGACTTATAATATGAAATGAATGGAGTATATATTTTTATGAAAATCCCAAATGGATTTTGTCTATTATTTTCCTTTATGGATACATGATCAATCTACATTGTTATAATCTACACCCATCACAATCTAACAGTGTAAACATTTTTCTTTTTCTTTAATTAATATGATAACTTTTAGTCTCTACAACGAACGTGATATCTCCGTCCAATGTTATAATAATAATAATAATAATAATAATAATAATAATAATAATAATAATAATAATAATAATAATAATAGATTATCAAGGTTGAACAGCGTTTTGCAAACAGTAGAAAAACATAACGAAACTTGGCAAAGAAAAACTCGGAGGAAGTATCGGATGCTATACGGAAATGTTTCGTGCTCATGTACTACCATGTTTCAAAAATGCACCTAAAAAGTCACAAAAAAATGTGAAAAAAATCAGAGATCTGTAGCACTATGACATGTAACATCACATAAAATCAAATCAAAATATGAATAGTAAAGCGACATGTTTGAACACTGTTGGAGCACAGATTTGTTGTTTTTTTTCTCCCTGTGTACATCATATTTTAAGCTGATTTTTTTCTGTGATGCTGTCATAGTGCTGCAGATCTCTATTTTTTTTACATTTTTTTTGACTTTTTGGGTGCATTTTTAAAGCTTGGTAGTACGGGAGCACGGAACTGTTCTGTAGCACCTGATACTTCCTCGCTCGGAGGCACATACAGCTCAACATCAGAACTCTACTGCTACTCTTCTCAAATGACAGACTGATCAAGGAAGGGGAAGGATTTGGTTGGGATAGGATGCGGTTATTTATTCATTTATTTTAGAGGTGGTGGTTGTGCTTCGTGTGATATGCTATGCGAACGAAACGGTGGATGATTCTGCTTTTAAGTACTCTAGTAGATATGACGTAATTATTTTATTCTTAAACTTTGACAAAAATATTATTTTCTCAAACTTGGATAAATATTTATAGAGAAGAATAATCAAAAGAACTGAAAAGTCAACTATATCATATGTTAAAAAAACAGAGCTATCATATTGATTTTCAAATTTATGCATGTTGGATGTCCTGCGATACTTAAAAATACTTTAAAGAAAATATAGCTGCACAAAATGCGTGCCATCCAGTAGGTTTGGGATATCAACCGGTGAACCAGGGGCGGAGCTATAATGTGGTCCGTGTGGTTCATGGACCATCATAGAATTTTGGCCTAAGGCCCATTAGCCCTATACGCTACTTCCAGAAAAATATAGATGGCACTTTGACGCTTTGTTTTTTTTGCCAATTCAAGCACCGCGTCGGGCGTCGGCGCGTCGCTTCGTTTCCATCGTAATTGTCGTTTCCAATTTTCGAGCGCGCAAGTCGACGAGTCACGACGACCACTGTCCACTGAGGCACTAAGGCCATTCACAATGCATCTACATGGTATTTGGCCTCAACTGTCCAGCTAAGCAGATTGTATACGTGGAGAAGAAAAGAAGATGGGGCCCATGTATTCACCAGCTCCGCGCGTCCTCGTTTGGCTCCGAGAGCCTCGTCAGAAAAACAGCTTTTTTAATCGCATTTGCACATGAGAAAGCAGGACACAGAGAGAAGGGGGAGAAGCTGACCAAAAAAGTAAATTTTTGTGGTGGGGCCCGCATGAGAAACAGTTTGGTGAGGTCCACCTAAAGACACGCGCCCACGCCGCATTGTGGAGAGAGGAGCTTCACGCTGTTTCTTCGTACGTGGCTGTTTAGGCTCCTCAGAAAAACGTGACGCAGTGCTAATGCCCTAAGGCACTAACGAGTGAGTTGTGATGTCGCCACGTTGGCGGCCGGCGACTGCGCCACCGCGGGCAGCGACCGCACCAGCGCGCAGTGCCACAGGCCAGCAGCAACCAGCAGGGAGAAAGCAATCAGCAGCACTCCATTCATCAGGAGGCACGCAACACCAAAGCACAGCAAACAGCACGTTAGCAGGTTCTCAACTTCTCATCTGCTTCTCTCTTTCTCCTCCCTAACAGTAGGGTTTTTTTCTTTAGGTTCAAATGTTCAATCTCATTTCAATTTTAGGATATCCGATCGATTGGAATTGGAATGGTAAATTGAAATTAAACCTTGCAATCCTGTATAATCCTATTGTAGATTTGCTGAGTTGTACCACCATATCTTGAAAACCTGGCTACGCCACTGCGGTGAACATCTACCATGGACCGTGCACCCAATCAAACAAGGGCCCCAGACGGTAAAATGATCGTTTATCCAGTGTCCTATAATGCTCCTATATTCAATGAAGATTGAATAGATATACTATACTACACATGGGTTAAAACACAACCCCACCCCCACACCCCACCCCTGGAACACCCCCCTCCCGCTCGTGTAGTACCGATAGTAAAATTATTCCTACGTGAGTATGTATTTACCTTGTACTCATAGTAACGTTGTTACTTTAAGTGGGCCCACCCCCACCATTTTATAAGCCATTTTCTTGACACCTGCTTTGTACGGTTATACCCCGTATTTTTAGGATCTGGGAGCGGCGTCGGCGGTGGCGGTGTCCTCCAGCGGCGGGCGGCGGGCGACGGGCGAAATCGGCCAGCGACAGGTGGAATCGGCTGGAGAGGTAGCGCTCGTGGGTCGCCGCTGCAGTCGCCGGAGATCGGAGCCGGGCAGAGGCGAGCGGACAAGAACGGGCGACGCTAGGATGGAGGAGGAGAGCCCTGCCCCGGCGTCGGCTCAGGCTTCTGCTCCCTCTCCCACTCCCGCCGCCGCTGTTGGTGGTGTAGCGCCTCTGGATCCAGCGGGAAGGTGAAGCGCATCATGAAGACGCCCTATCAGTTGGAGGTTCTCAAGAGGACTTACACAGGTTCGTCGATGGCCTACGGGGAATTGGGGATTCTGGAAATTTTAGGGCTATTTCGTGTTTGTTTTGTCGATTTTTCGATCGAAACGGCCGTGGGATTTCTGTTTTGACTTGGTTTGGTCTCTGTTGCTGTCTGTGAAGTTAGGGCTCACAGACAAGCAGCTGCAGATGTGGTTCTGCCACCGGCGGTTGAAGGACCGTAAACCACCGCCGAAGCGGCAGCAGCTGGAGGAGGAGGTTCATGTGCCAGTTATGGCGCCGCCTCCTGTGCTGCCACCACCGCTGCCACACAGCGAGCTAACAATGGCTCCTGGTGGGATGTATGGCGAGCAGTTGCTGCCCTCCTCTTCCCGTAGAGGAACTGGCCGGCCATCAGCCATTCTTGATATGTCTGATCTTCAGTGCCTCCCCCTACTCACGAGCCACGGTTAACAAAGCATATTGAGCACATAATAGATTTGATAACCAAGGTATTACTTAGCTGCCTATTATAGTTTTTATTCATGTTCAACTATTAGAAACAAGTATAACTGAACAATTTTGTTCACTGTCTTTAGTCTTTTGCAATGCACATACATTTTATGATTTGCAAGGAGCTTAATCGGATGGACAATCTCTGAAATTTTGTGGTTCAACAATGCAGATGGATTGGATTGTATTTCTGAACTACCGGACTACATATGGTCCCATTCAACATGCTACGGTTTATCGGAATGTTTTGACAGAACATACTTTTTCAGGCCTAATATTCTTAATTTTACTTGTGGCCAGCGACATTGAAGCTGATTGATTGTATTCCTCATCAAGGGAAAGCATGGCAGATTGTACAGCTTGATGCACTTGACGAGAGGTACTCATCCACTTGATTTCTGCGTCCTCAGCGGTGATTATTTCCATCTGTGCACAGGTGAGATCTGGCTGCCTATTTCGTTTTGTGTTATTGGAAGCACATCGATCACAACTCTACAAATTTCTCATGTGTGTTCTGGGCAGGCTTGTTAGCTGATATGCACACCTCTGCTCATCTTAATGATGTAACAAATGTCGATTTATATCACTAGTGCTTGGCTTTTGGGCTATCGGTTCATCAGTCTTTGGACAACATTTAATTGATAAGCCAACAGTTTCTTAAATATTCTTTTTGATGTGCTTGTAGTTTCTTAGATTTTCTAGTTGATATCTTGATTGGCTAATAGTTCTATGAATGTTTTTGGTTCACACAGACATGCGCAGAAGTGACAATTTTTCAATCTGTCTAGTGGCTGCTCTCAACTCTCATGTTGATTTGTAACGGTTATTGCTGAATGAAAGATGGACTGAGAATTTTCGTTCAGAGAAATTATATTCAGAGCTCTGAGTGTCATGTTCTCTCGGTTTGCAAGTGCAGCCCTTTTCATAATTTTTTAGTTTGGTCGGCTGGACAATTAGATACTCACAGTTGGGTCAAAAGCTCTGAAATGTTATGAAAATTATGGGGCTCATACACATATGATGCTCTAAATGTCAATTAGAAATATGTCATTTGCAAATTTGTGTGTTGTATTCTCAGAAATCTGTTCCCATCTGAATTTCCATTTGTTCACTCATATTGGTGAGCGTTTTGACCAAAAGAGTTCCTTTATGTATTTGTTATTGGCCTTTTCAATTCACTGAATTGCGAAATGTTCGGTTGCAGGGACTAAGTCAAGCCCTGGAGAGATGATTCGGCTAAGGTGGGACACCACCGATAGCGAGGAGGTCGTTCGCACCCGCATCCCCTCAAGCACGCCGGGTCAGCACAAGGCGCGCGTGCTCCCGGCGGCTGGCCGCGGATGGCCAGATACAAGAGGACCACCGGCCAGCCCTCCATGGCCGACCCGTTGCCCTCTTTCACTCCATACCTATCCACCACGCCGCCATCGCCTCCGACAACCATCGGTGTAATACTAACTTGGTTACTACGAGAAACTCTGTGACAAGACCAATATGTTATGTTGAGAATCATTGGTGTAATTTAGTTACTAAGAGAAAATGTTAAGAACCATTAGTTTAATAGTAACTTGGTTACTACAAAAAATTTTGTGGCAAGATCAATAAGTTATGTTGAGAATCATCGGTACCATAGTAATTTATTTACTAAGAAATCTTGTGGCAATAGCAATGTTAATTCTAAGTAATTTATTTACTAAGAGAAGGTATACTATAATTTATTTACTAAGAGAAGGTATACCAATCAATTGGGAGTACTATCCTAAGTAAGGGCCGTTTTTTTGACAAATTGACCCTTTTCAAAAACTTATTTCGAAACTAACCCCTGCCAAAAACTTCAACCAAAACTAGGCCGTCGGCTCAGCGCCAAGCGCATTGGCGCTGAGGTTGGCCGTGTCAGCGCCAATGGGACTGGCGCTGACATTGTGCCACCGTGGCGGCCGGGCCGATCCCCTAGCTGATGTGGCAGCTACCTCAGCGCCAACCGCTTCGGCGCTGAGGTGCCCAACCTCAGCGCCAAGTAAGTTGGCGCTGACCTTGGCTACTTAGAGCCCGGCCGAGGCCGCCCCAGCCAGTTCTTCCTCCGTTTTTTCCCCAGCCGCCCGCCTAGGGTTCGGTCGCCACCGCGTTCTCCTCGCCCAATCTCCCCCAAAAACCTCTCTAATCGAAGGTGATTTGTGCGGCATTGAGTTTGGGATCGGAAGAGAAGGTAAACCCCTCTATAAACCCTAAGTTCCCCAAAGTTTTATTGGATATTTTGCATTGTTTTGGTTGTAGACGTGGTTTGATAATAGTTGGCTAAGGATGGATTATTAGATGGATAATATGGGTGGGGATGAAGTGTGGAGGAAGAAGAAGGACAAGAAGGTTCAAGAACGATATGGACAAAGCATACAAAAGCTCAGCCAACCGACGGTCACAAAAGCCGAACAATACAAATTCAGAGCCGGTCATGCAAAATAGATGCTCGCTATGCCACGAACTAGGCCATAAGAAAACTAGGTGCCCGAAGCGAGACAAGTCTAAGGATCGACCGAAAAAGCGCCGTAGGACGGGGGGAGGTGGTGAGGGTAGCACACAGGTGGGATTGGATGACATTCATTTCCTAAGTTCATATTGTTGCTTCAATGTTTACTTTCTGTTGTCCTCCTTTCCGTTCTCATTGTGATTTTTCCATTTAATATTTTTTCAATTACTATTGATTCCATTTTCATTTGCAGGATGGAGCACTTTCCGGGGTTGGAGGATTTCTACGAGGAGAAGCACCGGGCCCCACAGATTGCCAGCGGAGAGGTTAGCATCAACAATATTCCATTTTTTTTATGATCGAATTTATTTTTTCTTCTTTGATTTTAGTTTGTACAGATAGATCATCCATCATGTCAAAAGTATAATGTAGTTAGATAAATGTCAACATAAGTAGTTAGATAGCTACCACTTGCACCTGGAGATCTTTGCTATCTATCTTATGAACACACAAAGAAGATTCTGAAGATTAGCCACAGGACTACAGGATATATTGCATGTGTGCTCCATATACTAAAAAAGAAAGAATGATAATCTGGATTCAAACACCAATTTATGCATTCTAGACAAATCCATTTCGAAGGGAAAGTCAATATATCAAATAAACAATTAGAACTTGAATAATATGCACAGTTCCACAATGAATAATTGTAAATTGAGTTACTGAATGCCAATTTTACAAAAGAGAAGTAAAATGAAGAATCTGAATTATGGGCTTGATGCAGAGTTATAATTGCAAAATCTTGGCGTCGCAAATTTCCCTCAAATCAAAACAAATGCTGAGTAATGTATCATCATTTAGCAATGTATCATCATTTAGCAATATATCAATTCCTACCAATCACTTCTAAGGACAAAACAGGATGCAACACTGAGTAAGAAAAAATGGTCTCAGAAGGGTTGTCTGATTTGGGATTGGGATCCATCATACTGAATCCAAACAAATATTTTTTAGTCCCACACTACATGGTAGTTGTGCAGGAAATTGTTATAAAATCCAAAGTGAAAGCTCCGGTAGTAGCAAAGGCACTTTTAGAAGCTTCCTAAAGTATAGGAAGCTGAAATAAACACAATGGCACACATATATACGAATAACTAAGGGACTTTATACCATACAGTCAATCAGGCAATGATTCAGAAGAGAAAAAGAATCAAGCAATCGCATTTTGTTAATATTCTGACCATTGCTCCAAGGATTGTTTTCAATCTTTATGATTTTATATTATTCTTGATTACGCAGAAGAGAAAAAGAATCAAGCAATCGCATTTTTATTTTTGATGCAGCGCTTGAAGACCCTTCGAGTCAGAGGTCACACGGCGCACATACTGTTCGACGACCGGTACGTCCCGTACCTACGGCGGGCTAAGCTCTTGGCGTTCGTGACCATGGCGCAGCGACCGGTGCCTCTGTACAACGCCGCTGCTCTGACGGCCCTAGTGGACCGGTGGCGTCCAGAGACACACACCTTCCACCTACCGTGCGGGGAGCTGACGGTCACTCTGGAGGACGTCGCCATGATCCTGGGTCTTCCTATCCGGGGTCAGGCGGTCACAGGTGACACAGCGTCAGGGAATTACTAACGAGTCTTCGTATTCATTTGTTAATTTTTTTGCAATTACTAATGATTCCACTTCCTATCCGGTTACAGGTGACACAGCGTCGGGGAACTGGAGGGAGAGGGTCGAGGAGTACCTTGGTCTGGAGCCTCCAGTGGCACCTGATGGTCAGAGGCAGACAAAGACATCAGGGGTTCCTTTGAGTTGGTTGCGAGCCAACTTTGGTCAGTGTCCCGCTGAGGCAGACGAGGCTACAGTACAGCGATACTGCAGGGCGTACGTGCTGTACATCTTCGGCAGTATTCTGTTCCCTGACTCTGGTGGAGATATGGCTTCTTGGATGTGGCTGCCGTTGCTCGCGGACTGGGACGAGGCGGGTACCTTCAGCTGGGGGTCGGCTGCCCTAGCCTGGTTGTACCGGCAACTCTGTGATGCTTGCCGAAGGCAAGGCGGGGACGCGAACCTAGCAGGCTGTGTTTGGTTGCTACAGGTAAGTTCACGCATGTTATGTTTCATAACATTTCAATTTCTTGCTAACATGTTGGAAGCTAACGTATGTGACGCAGGTTTGGATGTGGATGAGGCTTCCAGTTGGTCGGCCCATGTGGAGGACCCATCAGGCTTGGCCGCACCAGGATGCAGACCGACGTCCCACTGTAGCTCACCTGTGGGAATCGGTCCCATCTCCAGTAGTAGGCCGCAGGAATTTGGCGTACTACCACTACACAAACGAGATGGACTACCTACAGCCAGAACATGTAAGCTATTCGGGGTTCTATGACACATGAAGATGGTTTCTTACTATATAGTACTAACTGTGCTTCAATGTGTTTTATTTTTGTTGCTGCAGGTGGTGTGGATGCCATATCAGGCACAGGAAGTGCTCGAGCTAGAACTGAATCCCATGTGCCATATAGAGGATGCGTTGAAGACCCTACGGTGCCCACTGATCTGCTTCTATGCAGTGGAGTTCCAGATGTGCCACCGCGTGATGCGGCAATTCGGGAGGCTTCAAACAATCCCGCACCGTTTCTCCACGAGTATCGACCTACACAAGTTAGTAATTTCACTTAACAATTTTTATGCAGAGACTACGGCAGCGATGTCGGAAGTTGGCAGCAAGGCTCGGCTGCAGGTCGACTGATGTGGTCGAACATGCTCATGCCCACCAAGAGGGGGATGAAGAAGGGGAGGTGGGTGACGAGGAGGGCGAGCAAGACAAAGAGGCGGAGGAAGGAGATGAGGAGGAAGAAGGGGATGAGGACAGAGAAGAGGAGGCGGATGAGCTCGGTCCCTCGCAGCTAGAGGACGCACCAGAGTCGTCACAGCCGGATATCTCGCAGCCCGGCCCGTCTCGACCACGAAGCCGGCGGGCTCCTTCGCAGGACTGGAGGTACACCCCCGACGTGCCTCGTCCTCGCACTAGAGGTAGGAGGAGGTGAGTGCATGGTTCAATGGATGGATGGATAGATGGATGGACTCGACTGGATGTATGGACTGGATGTATGGACTCGACTGGATGTATAGACGAGGATCGATGGGATGTTTTTATTTCTTATATGTATGGACTTCATATATGGATGTATTGATGGATTCTATGGATGTATGGAATGATGTTGGGATTGATGGATGGATGTATGTTTTGTATGGTTCTCTGGATATATTACTGCCTGTAAATTTCTGTCATTTGATGTTTGCCTGTGTTGTGTGCAAAGTTTTGCTAAAGTTTAGCAGGGCTGGGACGTCAGCGCCATGCTAAATGGCGCTGACATGTACAAACTCAGCGCCAGTGCACCTGGCGCTGAGGTCCCAGCCCAGCCATCCAGAAGGCTTGCTGGGCTGGGCCACGGCCGAAACGGCCAAGTCCCACCTCAGCGCCAGGTTGGCTGGCGCTGAGTTTCCCAATGTCAGCGCCATTTTGGCTGGCGCTGAGGTCCCAGCCCGCAAGCCATCCAGAAGGCTTGCTGGGCAGGGCCACGGCCGAAACGGCCAAGTCCCACCTCAGCGCCAGGTGGGCTGGCGCTGAGTGTCCCACGGTCAGCGCCATTATGGATGGCGCTGAGGTCCTAGCCCGCAAGCCATCCAGAAGTCTTGCTTGGCTGGGCCAAGGCCGAAACGGCCAAGTCCCACCTCAGCGCCAGGTGGGCTGGCGCTGAGTTTCCCAATGTCAGCGCCATTATGGCTGGCGCTGAGGTCCTAGCCCGCAAGCCATCCAGAAGGCTTGCTGGGCTGGGCCACGGCCGAAACGGCCAACTCCCACCTCAGCGCCAGGTGGGCTGGCGCTGAGTTTCCCAATGTCAGCGCCATTATGGCTGGCGCTGAGGTCCTAGCCCGCAAGCCATCCAGAAGGCTTGCTGGGCTGGGCCATGGCCGAAACGGCCAAGTCCCCCCTCAGCGCCAGGTGGGCTGGCGCTGAGTGTCCCACGGTCAGCGCCATTATGGATGGCGCTGAGGTCCTAGCCCGCAGGCCATCCAGAAGGCTTGCTGGGCTGGGCCACGGCCGAAACGGCCAAGTCCCACCTCAGCGCCAGATTGGCTGGCGCTGAGTTTCCCACAGTCAGCGCCATTATGGCTGGCGCTGAGGTCCCAGCCCGCAAGCCATCCAGAAGGCTTGCTGGTCTGGGCCTTGGGGTTGCGGCCAAGTCCCACCTCAGCGCCAGTCCGGTTGGCGCTGAGGTAGCTGCCACGTCAGCTGGGGATCGGCCCCGGCCGCCACGGTGGCACAATGTCAGCGCCAGTCCCGTTGGCGCTGACACGGCCAACGTCAGCGCCAATGTGTTTGGCGCTGAGGCGACGGCCTATTTTTGGTTGAAGTTTTTGGCAGGGGTTAGTTTCGAAATAAGTTTTCCAAAAGGGTCAATTTGTCAAAAAAACGGAAGTAAGGGTTCGTTCGCAAGTGCCGGATCGGAGCTTTACGTTTGGGTTGGGAACATGTAGTACTGTAGACCACTGTAGCAGCGTCAGGGCGTCAGGGACGGAGGGAAAGCGGCAGCCTGGACGCCGTCTATGGCCGACACTTTCCGTTGCCGTGCCGTGTGATGCCGGGCAGGGGCTGGCAGTGGAGGTACTGTAGCATGCGAAAATGGGTGGTTTTTGCAACACACGGGTGAAAGAGGTATTTGCTACGCGGCACCAATTGTGAAAGAAATATTTGATATGCACACACATGTGATTTCTTTAATAAGTTAATAGATGGTTGTATTGCATGGAGGGAATTTTTTTGAAAAAATCTATATTCAGAACGCATAGTTGGCCGCTGTAAATTCAGAAGACCACGTGATTAGCAAAGAACTAAAAAAGAAGTTTCGGGCATTAGGATTACGCAGATAAGATGTGAGGAATGGTCGACAGCGACTGAATGAAATTTATTGCGAAATTAAGACATGCATCAAAAAGTGATAATTAAAGGCAGCTCATATTGTATTTGATCAATCCTTATGTAGTTGTTACGAACATTCATCTCAACCCCACCAGAAAGCACATTATGCCGCTGCTCATCTTTGAGAGCGACTGAAAACATCATTCGCAATGAGGTCGCGCCATCTGCTCATCTCATCGCTTCCTCGTTGTTTGTTGCATAGTACATCGCATTGAAAGTTCCCGGTTGCGTCGGAATGGGATGTCTGCTGTACAGAGGATTTGTTTAAACGTAGTTCACATCATCATTATAATTCTTCTTAAAGTTATGAAGAGCAAAAGCAGCATGTATGATCCGTGGTCCAACTGTATCATCTGGGTTAAACGGTATCACCTTGAGTATTTTCCACTGCTTTTTGACGATCCCGAAAGTTCTCTCCACAATACCTCGCAAAGAGGAGTGGCAATGGTTGAAGTGCTCTTCTCGGCCTTCGGGTGCCGCCGCTTGTCTTCGTCCCAATCGATCCCTATGGTACTGTACATGTGGGTACGGTGCAAGAAATCCCATCCTACTAGGAAAACCTGAGTCCACAAGTAGATACCTTCCTGTAGAACATATTATGGATAATTAATTAAATCGCACCGCAATGAATATAAATTGATTGGAGTGTGGAAACCAAAGTTTGTAAAGTGAACAAGTGAAGTTCACTAACCTCGCGGAATCTGCGGAAAATCATTGGGATAGTACTGCACATCCTCGTTCAGAATCCTTTGATCATGAACTGATCCTGGCCATCCTGAATCACAGAAAATAATTCTGCCATCATGATCACATATGACGAGAACATTTTTCGTCGTGACATGGTGTCTGTTTATGTGTTGCATCGTCGTGCATGCAGAAGTCACAACACATATATGGGTATCGTCGACAGCACCCACGGATTGGTAAAATGGTTTGTACCATTCCTCCGTTTGAAACATTATGTGAGATGTCCTGAAGTTGGTATCTTTTGGTCTCAAAATTTTCCTAGCCAACTTGTCGAGACAATCCAATACTTCATTGAAGGAAATAGAGACGGTTGAGTTCGACCGGACCTAACGATTGTTAGCGTCTCTTGTCGAACGGCCGCCAGCCATCATGAACAAGAAAATCCCCAATTTTTCTAGCGAAGAAATCCCCCCAGTATCGACAAGCTGATAAGAAGTTACTAGAAGGCTGTGCAAACTGTGAATCTCTTCAGCGGTCAGGCGGAACATGGCCCGACATTGCCTTCTATTCGCCAACGTGTCCATCATCCTACTGATACCGGTCTGAACTGGAATTCGGTTAGGTGCTCTTTCATTTCTCCTGATCTCATTGGCCAGCAAGTCGATGATGGCATCTTCCTCCTCGCTGCTGGTATGGCCATCAGCCCAGCCGTAGGGACCGACATTGCTACTCATCTCCGCGTTCCTGTAACAAATCTATCAACCGATTTATTTGAGAGTAACAATTTATCAGAAAGCAGCAATTTATTAGAAAGAACCCATTTATTTGAAAGCACACATTCGTTTTAAAACAACAATTTGTGTGATCATGAGGGAATGTAATGCAACAATTTATTTGAAAGCACCAACTTATATGAAATCAGACAATGAAGCATAACACATGTATTAAACCAAATTAATGTTCATGTCGAAAGAGATGCTTACACTCAACACAGAACACCAAATGTTACCACGAACAAGTTATTTCACATTACAACAGGATTAGTTGGAAATAAAACACACAACACATGAAACAAACAGGAGTAGAGTAGCTGATACTAGTTCGAACCACCAGATGCACCACTAAACCCGTTGCCACTTGTTAAAATATATCGCAGGCGATCATCTGGGTCGGTGAGGCGCGCGAACATAAAGCAGTGGCCATTGCTTGCATCACGTAGCAAGCGCGCGGCCATAAACCAGACCTCACTACCTGGCCGGAGGCCATCTTTTTCCTCCAACTCCATGCAACCGTCAGGGCTGCTAGCCTTCCAAGCATCCATTTGCTTTGCGTGGCTCTCCATGGACGCCATGCACAGCACACTGAGCCTGTCAAGCGCATCGCCCCAATCGCTACTGCGTGTCCGCTTGTTAGAACTTCCAGAGGTCTCACCGGATGCCTTCCTTTTGCCCTTACTACCATTGCTCTGACCATATGTCGACGGCGCGGGCGGTGGAGGAGTGTACGCTGCTGTCAGCTCGTCGATGTCAATGGGCTGCCATTCAACGGGTTGTTGCGGTGGGCCTTGGTCAGCCCCAGCGACGGCGGAGTGGTTGCCGACAACGGTGCGCGTGCTAAAGACCGCGTGATGAAGATCAATGTGCTTCAGGGGATCGTTTCTGAAGGCGATCACACCCTTCTTCACCTGTCACAATTGTACACATGGAACTTGTTATAGAGGAAATATTTGACAAGGCACAGTACAGACAAGATGACATGTAAAGTGTAGGCAGCATGGCATGTAGTAATGTAATTAGCGAAATGAGTAAAACATATCATAACCAATAGGACACATATATGAGCAGATATAGCGGACTTTGATGCAAAGAATGTTGTTAAGAATTTAGGAACTAAAAAATAAGAAACAATTTTCAGCAAAAGATGTAGTGTTCAAATTATTTTCACACTTCTGTGACTACGCTGCATGGAATGAGTTATGGTACATGTAAGAATAATATTACTGGGTTATGGTACCTCCTGATAAGTGTTTGCAAAGGAATGAGTTATGACACATGAAACATAGATCAATACATTTTTTGGTCATTCTACCATTCATTATTTCTATGCGTAAATGGTTAACTGGTGTATTAACTGATAGGACAAACTAATACCCCTAGGAGTAAAGAAGGGTACTTGCAGCTCCATTTAAGTTCTTCAAAAGTCACTTCTAAGGACTAGCCAATTTATAGTACCATATAGCACTAGAGAACAAAGGGCAGCAGCATCACATTATCCAATTCCTCAGAAGCACATTATCCAACCGAAATTTGAGAATGCATTTATTCTACTGAAATTATTCTAGAATCTGTTTGATTCCTCATTATACGCTGAAAACAATCTAGATCATTTGCTTTCTGATCAGGTTATACTAGCGGCACCAATCAGATTCCCCAAAGCCCAAAACGTTTACTACATACTGCCTATGTTCATATTAGACATGATGGTAACACAATGGTAGCAAGATAATCGGATTGCAAAATGAATTTGTGTACAAGTAGCATACCCCATTTTGGCATTCCCACCAGCTTTCGTCGACGACAATGGCTGCAGTAAGGGGGTCCCGGCCAAGTCCGGTCGCCTACGATTCAAGCCACACCCACAGCTGGTACTGCTTCTTGCACTGCCCCCAGATATACTCCAATTGCGCCTTCGTCATCTTCTTCTTGCACTTGTTCTTCATTTTCTTCACCAAGTTCTCCCATGCCTTGGGTTTGGGGGAGTTCGATGTTATGTTGAATGCCGCCATCTCCTCCAAGCAACTCTCAAGAAACACATGCAGCTCGAAATCGGTCCAGCGACCACGCGATTCGGACATCTACTGAAATGCTAGTCAACAAACAAAATGAATGACATAAACAAACTACACCAGCCAGCCATACCTTCGATGATTTGTCCTCGTTGACGAGGTCCCAGTCAATTGAACGGCTGACGGTGGAAGGGCTCACTCGGCGCACGAACTCGATGACGGCTTTGGGGGACTTGGTGCACACCGTACACAGTGCATTGGCGACATGCACGACGTCCTTGGCTGGAGGCTTGGCGGTGCCCGCGTCCGACGTGACGGACTCGGAGGAGTCCTCGCCGGACTCCAGAGCGGATCGGTGGATTGGTAGAGCGGAGTTCGTAGGAACTACCGCCCTCTCCAATGCGGGGTGTGAGACCTCAACCTCTCTCTTCCGCTTCTTCCCCTTAGCCTCCATTGCCGCATCCACAACCGCCTCCTCAAATAGAGCTGGCTTCCTGTTGAGGCCGCCAGCTTTGCTGCCTCCGCGCTTCAATTCCGTGCGAACTGTTCTCGCTCCAAGACGAGCACGGGCGCTGCCAGGCATGGACAAGATGACTCGGCCGGACGAGCGCCGATGCCGACGCGCACAGGGAGCACGCCTGCCCGCTTTTGCCACCCTCCAGGACGATGCTCAGCACTATCCGACCCAGAGCCACAGCACTGCCTCCTGCACCGATGCTCCTAGCCTGCGGCGATACTGCTCGCTTGAATCGATGGAGCTGGGTCGTGCTGCCGGCAGCTTTACCTGACAGCGACCACTCGTTGGAGCAGAGATTCCAGGGGGGATTGGTGAGGGCGGTGCGATTTTGTAGGTGGAAGAATCGATTCGCGGGTGGCAGGGGGGATTCCTCTGCTTCCCTACGGCAATTTCGTCGTGGCGCTGTGGACGAAAGGGGATCGAGCGAGAGGAGTGTGGAGGAAAGGGGATCGAGCGAGAGGAGTGGATGACGGAAGAAAGGGGATCGAGGGATAGGCAAGGAAGCCGTGACGGCACCGTAACTCCGTTCGAGCCATTTGCTTCCGAACAACTGTAGCGCCACAACACGTGGATGCGTGGGACCCACACGGTCAAGGTTCCCAACAGCCCTGGATCGGAACTAGCACATGCGAACACACCCTAACTTATTAAGAGAAGAGATGAGAACGTCGTGAGAGTAATTCATTTACTGAGAGGAGGAACCAAATTGAGAAAGGTTGAAAACAACCTAGGACTCTAGGAGTAATCCATTTACTGAGAGATGGAATCGATTTGGGAGTGCGGGAGTGTTAGTAACTTATTTACTCATAGCTGATCGACTTAGTAATCTTCTTACTAATGGGCAAATCATGAAAGAAGTGCGGGAGTAGATAAAAAAGGTGAGCAATCTTGTTACTAATGGGGCCAATCATGAAAGAAGTGCGGGAGTACATTAAAAAATGGTTTACTTGATAGTAACTTGGTTACTTATTGAACTAAAACAGCTGATAGTAACTGATTATTTAACGAAAGAATTTTTTAGAGAAGGAGGGATGTGGGAAAGATTGTGCGGATGGATATGGGGGTGGGGGGAGGGGGTGGAAGGTTGGGGGGGCTATGTGAGGGGAGCGTTTTAGTTAAAACGCACACTGGGTGCGGTTTAGCGTATCTCCAAGATTGAATTATTATATTGTGATGATTTTATCAATATTAAGATATGCTGATTTAGTCTCTAAAATACTGTCATAGCTATATTGTATGTGCGCACGTGTATATAAACATCTGTGTTTGTGGTGTGTTACATGTATTGATATTGGCTCAGATCAGAAGCATCACTTTCATGCTTTGGGCCCTCGATTTTAAACCTCCAATGGCCCCAAAAGCCACCGAACCCGCTAGATGACACCCAGCACAAAGCCAGATCGTCAAAAGCCTCCCCTAGAACCCATGCAAAACAGCATCATATTCATACCCCCTCCAACATACCGTAACTACCCCTCAACATCTTCCTGATACCCCCACGTTCCCCAGGGGCAGAACCGTCCATTCGTAGGGCAACCTGTTTTACTAGCCGTTACTTTACCTCCCTTCCATCCCGGGTTCAAATTCGAATCACCCATCCCACCAAATCCCCCCCTTGAAAAACTCCTCCTAATCAATCGCCGCCTTTTCTCTCTTCTCGCCTCTCCTGCATCCTCAGCTCGCGATGGAGGCGCGATGCGGGGGCCTCGCCGTCGTCGCCGTGCGGCGGCCGCTGCAGCCGCGGGACACCAACGTGGTGGCCTCCCCAGCCGCGGCGCTCGCCGGGAAGGCGGCGAAGGGGAAGGGGAAGGGGAAGGGGACGGCGAGGGCGGCGTCGTCTCCGCCGTCGGTGAGGTCGTACGCGAAGGCCGGGGGATGCAGGGTGGGGTTGAGGGAGGTGTCGCTGGCGGAGGAGCTGGAGAAGGCGCGGGAGCGGCGGGGCCGGATGCGCGCGGCGAGGGAGGTGACGGGGAGGGCCCTGGAGGAGCGCGCCGCGGCGCTGCGGCGGGAGGCGAGGGAGTGGGAGCGGCGGGCCGACGAGCAGCGGCGCCTCGTCGCGGAGCTCATGCGGCTGATCGGCATGCCGGAGGTCAGTCTCGTACTCTCGTTCGTCCGCGTGCCGCCCGCGGATTCGATTTAGCTCGATTTAAGCTTGTTTTCTGTGCTACTGTTGGATGCTGATGGCTAGTTCTCAATTTCATTTGACAGGTTTACACTCCAGTGGAATCACTGAGATCGAAGGAAGAGAGGAAGAGAAAGGAAGGGATTGCGCACTCTGGTTCGCTGGTAAATGCTTCCATTCCCATTAGATTCACTGAGACACAGCCTTTCATTTTTTTTTCTGTTATTGGTACAAAGTTATTTTGAGAACAACTCAGGATGACAGGATTCGATGCCTTTTCGAGTGAATCAAGTGCTCTGCATTCTAATTAGGTGCACACGCTGTTGTTGCAGGATACTGCATCGTCATTGCTGGATGATGTTAGGGAGAGTTGCTGTGATCGGGAATCGGAGGGAGCAACGACTGAAACTAGCTCTTGATTTGTGTTCCTTCCAGCACTGTCAACTCCTTTTGCAGATGGCCCGTGAATGAAATCAAATGCCTTGTTTGAGATTTCTGTTTGTATAGTTTCGCTAATTTTGATTGGGCAAGAGCAAAGTGGTCTGCAAAATTTGATACTACTATTCGTAACTGAAAGTCCATTCTGATTTTTGTTTTCCATTCACAAAGATAACCAATTTTATCGCATCCATGTGTTTTATGGACCACCTCCTGTGGTAAGTCAGCCGAAAGGGCTTAGACTTAGTGGGACCCATATGTCCTGTGGACCATCTCCTATGGTAGGTTTTAGCCCGTCTTTATTTTCCTTTTTGTCGGGCCATATCCCATCCCTTTCAGCCCAACTGACCAACTTCTTGGCCCAACCAATCAAGTGGTGAAGAAACTCATGCGACTTCAAGTCTGGAACTCGAAATTAAACTAGAAAATAAACATGCCAGTTGGCGCTCTTTAATTTATTTCCCATGTATTTATATGAGTTAGTAGTTATTTTGGGAGTCTACGAGCTAGTTTTGTCTTCAAGCTTAATTGGTTTTATAATTGTTAGAAATTCTTATATTTTAGGATGGAAGAGGTAGTATATAACAAATATTTTTCAAAAATGGTTTCTCAAAACACAAAATTGGATCTAACCTTTTAAATGGTTTTCATTTATTTTCCTATTTACTGTTTCTTCTGAAAATATAGGATATTAATGTTGTCATGTACTTCTCTCCTATTTCGTATTTATCTTTCGACTTAACCTACAGTATGTCCTACAAGGATTTAAAATACTTCAACATTTGTTTAAATATATGACATTGTTGACTTTTAAATATAGCATTTGAACATTTGTTTTATTTATAAAATCATGTGAGTATCATTTATTATCATTAAAGACATTTTAATCATTACTTATATTTTTTATAAGACGAATTATAAAACATTAGATAAAAAATAACGTCATCTATTTAAAAACACACTTTCCTTACTTCTTTCTTATTTTTTCTTCGTTTTTTATTTTCCTCTATTTATGATTACTCCAGCTCGAGGAGCAACACACAGTGGCACCACAAATCCAAACAAGTGACTACGTGAGGGCGGGAGACTGTGAGCCTATGATTATGACTTGTGAGAGTCTGAGTGGCATAAGACGTCCTTACTGGGTCGTGAAGCCCAGTGCGGCTTTTAATTGTTTGGGTAACCAGCTAGATTGATCTAGACTTTCCTAGGGAGACGGGCCTGGCACCTAGGCGCACGAAAGAGAAACGCACTCCCAAATTACTCGCAAATTTAACGTGCCACGTGGACCAATCATATTCCAGCCGAACGGCGGGCTTGAGAAGATAAAGATGGGGGACACGTGGCTAATTTTCAGAGGACCTAACTCTAAATTCTCAGGAGCCACGTGGTCCAATCATATGTCTGATTTACATCCCTACAATCGGTTTTTAAGATCTGTGGTGGCTTTGCCTCTAGGATTAGGGTCTGTTTGGCACAGGTCCAGCTCTAGCTCCACCTCTCCTAGAGCTGGAGCCCAACCAAATAGTTTCAGCTCCACCTAAAATAGGAGCTGAGCTGGGTGGAGCGCTCTAACAAAATAAACTAGGAAGGTGGAGTTGGAGCTGTACCAAACAGGGCCTTAGATTCTAACAAGTAACCAGCAGCATTCGAACGCATTGCATCTAAAATTTACATTTTTATATTTGACCTAATGAACACATTCGTGAAGTTATTGTTTTGATTAAAATAATGAATTCTGTTGCTTCTTGTCTATTGAATGAACTGTTTTATCAATGAGTGGTCAGGTAATTATAGTCCAATCAACTGACAAAAACGCATTTTAAAACTGAGCTATTTAATCTTTATTTACGAACAGAGAACATATATTGATATATATCAGTCTGAATACAAAGTAGCAGCTCGAAATATCATGAACTATCAAAACAGTATTTATTAATTTAATTAAAAATTTTAAATTAATAATTCTTAAGGTGTAATTAATGTGGACTATTCTTTTATTAGGCTAAGTAGATATAATTTGAAAAATAATCAGCATGTTTACCTTATTCCTAAAATCATAATATTTATAATAAAACAATAATAGCCATTGGCGACTAGTATTTTCTAATTTTGATTTTTTTTTAAAAAGAAAACGATAGTCTCTCATAGGGTAGATTTTCCTTTACAACGCAATGCGATTCTGTCGCTTAAATCCATAAGAATTTGACATTCACATGGTAAATGAACTAGCAAAACAAAATATTTTTTTTCTACAGAAACATGCAGTAAAATTCTCTTGTAATTCCCGTTACGAAGTATAGGACTTTGCTAGTTTCACTATAAATGAAATAAATCTAGAGCATATATGCAATAAAATCTGTAGTATCCACAAATGATTTATTTTTTAAAAAGAAAACGACAATCTCGATCTCAAAGGTTAATTTTCCTTTACAATGCCATGCGATTCTGTCGCTTAATTCCGTAAGATATGTACATTCACACGGTAAATGAACTAGCAAAACAACGCACTCCCTCCATTTCGTAATAAGGCATAACTATTTTAAAAGTTGTTTTATAATATAAGGTGTGCATGCATGCATGTCATTAATTAGCATTTCTTTTCCACTACAATATTATTATTTAAATCTTCCACCATCAAAATCTTTAATTTTATTGGGTGCATGTATTCTATTTATTAGGGTAATCCAAACTATGAGATGATAATAATTATTTCTTGGTCTTTGGGTTAATGATGGTTATGCTTTATATTTTGGAATGGAGGGAGTAATTTTCTACATAAACATCCAATAAAATTCTCTTGTAAATCCCTCTACGAAGTACAGGGACTTTGCTAGTTTCACTCTAAATGAAATAAATCTAGAGCATATGCAATAAAATCTGTAGTGTCCACAAATTTAATACTGGCCAGCTCAAGCCATTAATGCAAAAGATTGAAATCTTCAATAAAATCCATGTATTAATCTATGCAATAAAATCTATGAATACAAATGATTGAAATCTTCAATTGCCAGCTCACGCCAGATAAACCCATCAAATGCATGCTGCTTTTGACCTATATATATGCTTCTATCCCCAAATCCAACCTGCAACAAGATCGAGTGAACAAGAACATGTATACTGCATCTACAATGCCAAAACCCCCATTATATTCAACCCTCCTCCTGCTGCCTATTCTACTAGTTCTAATTTCAACCACATGTATACTAGCTGCAGATGAGCCATGTACGGCACCGCCTTGTCAAGGAAGTGAGTAACACACCCATCATCCCTCTTATCATCTTCTTCCTTCTTTCAACCTGCTCCAATCACCAGCATTCTACTTGACTTTTTGTTTGAGATGAAGGAGAACAACAATTTATAATACATGGATTTCTTGGTCATCATTTGTGGTCGATGTGCAGAGCAGACATGGCCAGAGCTCCTCGGAAAGGACCAGGACACGGCCTACGACACCATAAAGCGTGAGAATCCGCAGGTGACAAATATTGTGTACTTGATTTCGAATAGTATTGGGCGAGAGGAAAATGATGAATTCTGTTGTAATCGCGTCGTGCTGGTGATTGGAGCCCTTCCAACCGGTGGCGAAGGGATCAGCAAGGTGCCGCAAGTTGGCTAGAATTGTATATTGGCAAAATGAATAATTGATTATCCAATTCCATAATATGTTGGATTTTTTATGGTAATCTAAAGTTATTTTGCTCTAATATGTTGGTTTCGCTCCTTTCGGTCTGTTTGCTTTGTTCTGTTGTTCTGTGCCTGGTGGCAAGTTCAATTTCGAGATGTAATGATGTAAAGAGTAACAGCAAGTCAGCAAGAGCAATGTGAAATGTTAAAAATTCTGATCTACCCCTTTATTTGGTGAGGTTAACTGCAATCCTTATTCCATCATATATAACCTTCTTTTCTACTCCCTCCGTTTTTTAATAGATGACGACTTTTTCTTACATGTTTGACTATTCGTCTTATTCAAAATTTTTATGCAAATGTATAAGATATAAATCACACTTAAAGTACTATGAATGATAAAACAACTCATAATAAAATAAATTATAATTACGTAAATTTTTTGAATAAGACGAAAGGTCAAACATATGAGAAAAGGTCAACGGCGTCATCTATTAAAAAACGGAGGTAGTATCTAGGTTCATGATCTACATATATATGCAATATTCTACAATGATAGATCCGTACCTTTAGTTTGGAAGGAATTTAGTATTCCACTTAATTACCTCTTCTAGTCTGATTTAGCATATATATATACCAACATGAATATTACAAGTAGATGCAGTATGGCCAATCCAACCCATCCAACAAGAACCCCCATGCCCAGAAATTTTGATGCCCAACAAAAGACGATCCAATTAACACAAAAGAAAAGAGAACACTGTGTGCTGTTCCTATATAGAGCTACTCTGAGGCTGTGTTTAATTCAGCGCAAAGTTTGGATTTTGGTTGAAATTGGAGATGATGTGACTGAAAAGTTGTGTGTATGACAGGTTGATGTGATGGAAAAGGACTGAAGTTTGGATCCAAACTTTAGTTCTAAACACAGCCTGATTCTTCTTTCCAGGAGTCCTCAATCGGTTCGTTTTCACTAGTAAAAAGTACTAATTCCCTCCTAAACTATCGCAGTCGACTGAATTACCCCCTCCCTAAACTTAAATACAGGATATTTTACACCCTCAACTATTTATATTGGACAAATACATCCCTTAGCACTGTTCTGGGTTGTTTTGACTTGTGCTTGCATTAGTGACGCCACCGTGACAGTTGAATCAGGAAAAAAAAAACTCTCTGGACCCACCTGCGATCCCTCTCCCTCATGGTGGTGGTGTTGATACTTAACCAAGACAATACTGTACATTGCTGCAGTCTTTAGCATAGCCGTGGACGGTAACTTAGAAAATCCATTGAAATCGATGTGTAGATGAGTAGATATTTGAGTAGTGTTGTGGGATAATGCATTTGGTGATGATACATTATGACAGTAATTGAATCAGAATTATGAGATTATATATATGGTGGCATTATTGGTTGAGGGAAAGGGATGGCAGGTGGGTCTAAAGAGTTCTTTTTAATTTTCTTTGCTAATTGGACTGCCAAGTCGATGCTTCGCGGCTACTTTCTCTTCTTCCACTAGGGCTTGCTTTTTGGAAGTAGTATGATGAGATTATACATATGAATTTGAAAAGCGTTTCGTGCGACTACTAGTTGTTCGTCCACCACAGCTCGTATCTTCCTCTTTACTCGAGTGTTGCACGTCATTGTCAAAGCCCGTTATGGTGGATCGTCTTCCTCTTTGCTCGGGTGCTGCACATCAACGTCAAAGCCCGTTATGGCGAGTTGTTCCTACTGTGCAGCCAAACGACCAAAATTGCCGGTACGCATTCATAATGTTTCGTACATTCGATATGTTCACGCTCTACTATCTAGTTTACATGTGTAAATTGTATGATGTGTTTATACTAGTATATATGTTCAATGTCGTGATTTATTTATAAAATAAATTAAACCTATATGTGCTTATATTTTCAATACCTATAGTACTATGTAGGCTGCGTTTTTTTCATTTTCAGTTTTTTTTCACTATGAGGAATCTTCTTAACAAACTTACCTATAAATTATGGCGACACCGACACCTATATACCAATGTGGAGGCAAAAGCTGTATGTTCTCAAGGTTACGTGTTTTACGAGCTGTAATAGGGCTATTGGAATTTGTCTTGATGAAGTGTAAATAGCCAGAAATGATATATTTGCAATGTTTGGGCAGTATAGATTACCAATAATTAAGTTTGAACCAACAAGTATAAGAAAAAAAAAAGTTAAGTAAACCTACAACAACAGGTGCCTGCCTCACAGAACACACACATAACTACCCCCCCCCCCCCCCCCCAAACAAAAATACAACCTTTTTTTAGTGCAATAGGATAACGCAGCACATGATTGATTTGAGTAGGTCGATCGATCGACCTAGGCGTCGATGGGCTTGCAGACGACGGTGGCGTGCTTGAGGATCTGGTTGCTGAACTGGCCGGGCTTCTCGGTGGTGTCCACCTTGTCCATCCCGGGCGGCGGCAGCAGGTCGAAGCTCTGGACGAGGCGGCCGAGCGTGATCCCGATGATGGGCAGCGCGAGGATGATCCCGGGGCAGCTGCGGCGGCCGACGCCGAAGGGCACGAAGCGGAAGTCGTTGCCGTGCGCCTCCACGGCCTTCTCCTCCTCCAGGAACCTCTCCGGCCTAAACTCGTCGGGGCGCACCCACCGCTTGGGGTCGTTGGCGAGGAACCACGCGTTCACCAGGATCTTGGACTCGGCGGGGATGTCGTAGCCGGCGAGCTTGCCGTCGGCGAGGTTCATGTGCGGCACCAGCAGCGGGATCGCCATGCGCAACCGCAGCGTCTCCTTCACCACCGCCTGCAGGTACGGCAGCCGCTCCAGGTCCGGCTCCGTCACCGCCGCGCCGCCCAGCACCGACGCCATCTCCTCCCGCACCTTCGACTGGATGCTCGGGTGGTTCACCAGCTCCGCGATTCCCCATTCGATCGACCACAGCGTCGTCTCGATAGCTGCACATTTCGCACAAAAAAAAGTACGCTTCTTGTTAATTAACATTTTGTACTCTTTTCTAAAAAATAATAATCCAACTAAAATTGGCGTTTTTTTTGGGTTTTGCTAAACTACTGTCGCCACATTTTTTGCTTCGTTACAGTCGATTTCTGGATCACTCGATCCCCACAAAGATTCGTGCCGTGATAATTTACATGATATGAATCAAGCACGACACCGGATCGGGTTAGCTAAAATTATGTCGACACATGCTATAATCGACTTTTTTAAGCCATTTACACAGAAATTACACCTCACTTACACCACATTTACATCCTACTTACATATATAGTTAGTATGTAATTTTTGAATTTACATATGTAATTTTAGGAATTACATATGTAATTTTGAGACTTACATTATAAATACATTAAAATTACATATGTAATTTAAGGAGTTACAATGTAAATACATACCGACTATTTTTTGGTGAAAAATATGGCGCCATAAATATAGCTACACCCTTTTTTTTTTTTACTACTGGTTTTGACTCAAATGTTTCGTATCTACGGTAGTTCATATGGTTTGAATCATAAGGTATGAGATAGCCGCCTACCATATGTACCCACACGACTTTGTGCATTGGGCATGTGCCGGATAATAAAAAAAATACAATTGTATGTTAGGTAATGGTTACTCTGATTAAGACGTGGCTACTACTTCTTACCCAAAGAACTGGTCCTCAAGACCAAGAACATGGCAACCTGATCATATAAAAGCTCGTATTTAATGAAGCCATACTTTAACCATAGCCTATCATGACAATATTATATATGATGCATACTTAATTAAGGTTCTTTTTAGCCACACTAACGATGTGATGTGTTGGTAGAAAAATGCTAGCATTGCAATTTGGCCTGGTTCTGAACCTTCTATTCTCCACAAACTCAGTTCCTTTCAAGTACTAGTAAAACTCCAGCTTTGTCAAAACTATGACATGGATACGTATGATGTACTACGATATATACTTTAGGCCTGATCCAAAGAAAATTAAGCTGAGGATAAACTAAAAGTCAAATCCTGCGCGGAATAAACAAAAACGTACCAGCAACGTTGATGTTCTCGACGATGTAGAGGACGTTGTCGTGGTTGATCTCGCCCTTCCTCTCGGCCTCGAGGATGTGGTCCATGGCGCACCGGATCTCACCAGTCTGTTCCATCACTCTCCTGCAAAAAAGACACAAACACGTCCATGCCGATTTGTCAGTCGAACAGTTCATCCGAAGCTTCCCAACACAGCTACTACCAAAAAGGCCAGCAGTTTCTCAGTCGCAAATCGATCCAGAAACCGAAAAAAAAATGCAAGCTGCAAATTGTATATCTTCTAATCAAAGGGATAGCTGCATGTTGTTGTTTGGCACCATTGATCGATCCAATCAAACGGGATTATATTACTCAGTTATGCAGTGTACTGATCGAGAAGAAAACAGGGGAAGCGTCTGAAGTTCTTGCGACCTTTTCAGTCATTGAGCACATGGGGGAGCTAGTAGATCTGCTCAATTCGCTGAGAACGAAATGAATTTCCGATCGGTTAGGTTACTGGTAGAGAGTTTCTGTCGCCGTCGGTGCTTCCGTGATGAGGCAGGACTTTGCCCAAATCGTAAGCTTTCAGCTGGCTGGCACGAAAAGCAACCCATGATGTGCGGCTCACCTACTCGTCAGACTTATTTGCATGTTTAGGAAAAGGAAGCTTTGAACATTAGGCAAGTCCAGTTCTTACAGATTAATCTCCTGTTGTCACTACTAAACCAAATCATTTTGGACATCGACATGGTACTGGTACCCTAGTGTTACTTAAACTAATGATTTTTGTTAGTACTAATACTATGAAAGTAATTAAGTTTCGAGATAAATCTATACATATTGCTCCCATGTAAATATTGGAAAGATATGAATACTTAGGGTGTGTTGGGCAACCCATGTTCCTAACCTCTTTCTCTCGTTTTCCACGCGCACGCTTTTCAAACTGTTAAATGATGTGTTTTTTGTAAAAAGTTTCTATGCGAAAGTTGCTTAAAAAAATAAAATTAATCCATTTTTTTAAAAAAATAGCTAACACTTAATTAATCACGTGCTAATGGATTGTTCCGTTTTGCATACTGGATGTTTGGATTGGGAACCTGGGGTGCCGAACTAAGCCTTAAAAGTTTTGAAGCTTACCTAATCTATAAGATTTGTGACACAGGAATTTTAACCGCTAATTCTCAACCTTGGTTGGATGTATCCCAACATGCCAAAAACCAACCGCTTTAATTAGGCTCCAGAGTTTAAACAACCGTGACGTGGACATTGGCTTTGGCACGGGGTGGTAGCTGGGCTCCGCGGCACAGGTCGAGCCCGAGTCAAGCCGTTGCACAACCAGAAATTTGACCTCGCAGCTACCACCTCGTGCTGTCACCGCTCAGCACAGCAAGCAGCAACAGCAAAGTGATTTGATTCCTCCTCCTACCCAAACAGATCTGAGGCTGCTGCCAAATTAATCCCCTTCCTCGCGTGGCATGTGCACATCCCTACTACTAGCGTAGAATATTGCTTTTACTACCAAACTTTTCGCTCATCCAGTTCATGTCACCGATGCAAATGCATCATGCATGCAAGATGCAACCAAACTAGTCACCTTCACCTCACCTACCACCACACACAATTTGGATACGCAAGATGACGAATAAAATTTTAAAAAAAATTGAAGGAGAGATCAAATGGGGTAGTATAATAATCTGGGACTAATTAGGTAGGATTTGTTCTTGCGGATTCTTGGGGATATGCAGTGCAGGTAAGGTAATTAATTGAGATAGTAACTTACTTGCGTTCCTGGACGAAGTGGTCCTCGAAGAGCTTCATGCGCTGGGACTTGAGCTGGTGGCAGCGTGCGAGGTAGCGGCGGAGGAAGGGGCGGAGGACGGGGATGAAGTCACCGTAGTTGTACTCGAAGCTCTGCGAGAGGCGGCTGCGCTCCGCGTTGAAGGCCTTGAGCTTGTTGAAGAGCGGGTCGTCCACGCTGTCGAAACGGCGGTCGAACATGATGCGGAACATGTCGTTGTACATCATCAGCTGCAACCTTCGCCGGATCACCACGCCGGAGGTCGCCGCGGCGGGGTCGCGGCGGACGTCCTCCACCACCAGCCTCGCCTCCTCCTCCCAACCCGCGCGGTTCTGGGCCACCACCTTGTTGGTGAAGAAGGGCACCGTCATGATCCGCCGCATCTTGCGCCAGTGGTCGCCGTACACGGTGAACACCATGTCCTGCCCCTTCCCGGTGAAGATGTCGAACACCACGTTGCGGGTGCGGGAGCCGAACTCGACGCCCTGGGTGTGGAGCACCTCCTTGGCGAGGTCCGGGCTGGACACCACCACCAGGTTGCGGACGCCCATGCGGAGGAGGAGGATGTCGCCGAACCGCCGCGCCAGCGCCATCAGGTTGCGGTGGTTGAGGTCGTCGCCGACCTGGAGCCAGTTGCCGACGATGGGCGCGCCGGCGGGGCCGGGCGGGAGGCGGAGCCTCTTCCCGGTGAGCTTGGCCACCACTAGGGCCAGCACCGCCGCCACGAACAGGCCCAGGAGGACCTTCTCCACGAGGAGGGCGTCCATTGCCGCCGCCGCTGCTCTGCTCCGGTGGAGAAGACGAGTTTGGGTTTGGTTTTGGATGCAGATGCGCTGCTCTGCTGAGGGCGATGATCCAACGGCGGGGATTATATATAGTGGGGGGATGGGGATTTTGGGTGCAGAGGGTTGGTGTGGGGGATGTGGGGCCCACATGGGTTGCGGACGTGGGCCCGGATTTTGGCCCTACTGGAAATAATCAGGTGGGGGTGGGGGGGGGGGGGTTATTTTTCCAAGCATTTTTGCACTCATTGCCATTTGCCAAAAGGGAAAGAAGGTGGTAAGAGCAGGTACAATAGCATGCTATTAGCAAGCTATTAGCCAGCTATAAACATATTTTAATGAGATAAACGATGAGAGAGAAGACTAGCAGGCTACAGATATGTAGCCAGCTGCAGCACGGACTATAAGACACACTGTGTGTATGACAGGTGAGACCATATATTAATAGTATAATAAGCAACTATTGTATGAATTGACTATTAGATTGGTTATAGATAAATTGAAGCTAGTAGTGAGCTGTACTATTAGACTTGCTCTAATAGGGAAAGAAGGGAAGGTGCTTTCTGAACTGATAGCTAGATTGGGGTTGGTGAGAGTTTTGTAGTGGTAGGGGGGTGTGTGTGAAGTTAACATTTCGCATTTTGCATTTTTGCAAATGGAACAAAAAGTTAGTTGGAGATGTTTGAAAAATGGGTGGAGATGCAGTGGCCAAAGAGGAGGCATTTCGGCTACAAAGAGGACACCAACCGTGTAGGGGGTTAGTGACATTTTATAACGGGTGAGTTTTACATGATTTTCATTAGGATTAATTTAATTTCTACGGCATTAAAAGAAATCTTCTAAAATTATTTTGTTACAAAAGAGGACTAGATTGATGATACAGGCGTCGTGACGGACACAAGTTTCTTGGTAGGGTACATTTCCAACTGGAGGGAGTACTAGGTTTTTGGGGCGTAAAAAGTCGTGCTGAAAATTCATTTGAGGCCAATTTGATTTGGCTTAGCGAATGATTACGGGTTCAATGACGTGGCAGTCAGTTGGACCATGAAATGCACTGTTTGAATTATTAATGATCGTATCTTCTGCACCATGTATCCCAACAAATCAAGTTTATGTATTAAGTTTTCGGCGCAAAAATGTTGCAGACGCGTGGGTCTTCTACAACCAAGAGATTTGTGGACAACGACAATTTGAATTGTTGAAGTTGCCATCCAAATTAATGTCGCAAAAGTTTACCTTGTCATAATAGACAGACCATTTCTAGCCTAATTTTGTAAAAAGTTCCTTTATCGATTTTTAAATAAAACATTAATTTTATTGATAAAGAAAACTATGCATATATTCTGTTACCAATGGTTTTCTGGCCTGACCCAAAATCGATGACGAGATATAAGGGTACATCTTTTCGGTAAACTGAGAAGAAAAATATAGCATATATATATGTGAAAATATGTCCATTTCACCAACCTTTTGTCCCAAATCAAAATGTTGTGTGGTATGGCACGGAGAAGGGAAGAAAAGAGATGGACAAAGCTAGGCCATGCTACTATCCAAAACAAATGTGCTACTAAAATGAGGTTGACATTGCACAGTTTATTACGAGACAATTATATATGCGAGAATCTGTTATCTGCCCGATATTCGTTGAACTGAGAGGAGACATTTACCAACCAGATGTTCAGCTCTTCGGTTTGGACCATTTCAATCAAAAGCTCCCTGTGTCTTTTTGAGTTAGGTGGAGCGGTGACAATTGTCATTTGCTCAGCAACTAACATTACTAAAAAATAATTTTTCTGAACGAGCATCCAATAAATTACAGACGGACCATAAGTGTCCACGTATGCAAAACTCGACCTCCGTTTTCCCATACGGCTCCTTAAAGACCCGTATGCAAAAAATCAATTTTTCCAAACGGATCACTTAAAACACCCACACGCGAAAATAAGGGTATTTTCGTATTCGGGGCTCTTAATTCATCCGCATACAAAAATCCTCCCTCCCATTCCCACTCTTCTTTTTATTCTCCACTCATCTCTCTCTATCTCCAACCAGTCAACCACCCACTCTCCTTTTCTCTCCCGGCTCTCTCTCTCTCCCCCTCCTCTCAAACTCCTCTGCCCCTCTCCTCCCTCCTCCCTCCCTGCGGTGGGCTCTGCCAACGGCGGCGGCGGCGGCGACGATGGGCAAGGGCGACAACGACAGCTTCCTCCTCTCCTCCCCTCTCCTCCCTCCCAACGGCAGTGGAGCGCTCAGGCAGTGCAAGAGGACGGAGGAGGTGTGCCATGACTTCCTCTTCTTCTCCCCTCTCCTCTTCCTTCCAACGGTGGTGGAGGGCTCAGGCAATGGTGGAGAGCAGAGGAGGCGCGCAACGGCGGCGGCGTTTGCCGCCCGCGTGGATCCGACAGCGGTCACCCTCCCCCTTCACGGCAGTGGCGGATCCGGTGGTGGGGAGGCGCAGCGGTGGCGGATCCGGTGATAGGGAGGTGCGGTGGTGGTCCGGGGGGGGGGAGGCATGAGTCACCCAGCCGCCTGCGAAAACCGGATTTGATCATATGGGAAAATGCATTTCGTAGCCGTGTAAATTTATATATATACTTCTAATACCAGTATGTTTCCTTTATTTTGCGTGAATTCATATCTCGAGTTTGAACCATCCCCATCGAAGCATGGAGAATCGGATACAACGAGACAGAGAATTGACTTTGCAATTTTGATGTGAATTGTATCCAGCTGGGAATTAATGTACTCTATCACAATCATTTTTTGTAATCATATTCTGTTTTTCTACAATACTTATAACACTGTAGTCTGTAGAGGCATGGTAGTGAAAATTGTAATAAATCACTGTAGTCTTGTGATGAATTGTCTTCAAAAATGATGAGGCGTTTTATAATAAGCCTTCATGTCTTGTAATATTTCTTTAGATGCATTTGTGAAAAGAAAGGAAAAAAAACCACAATTCCTATTTCTATCTTCACTCGACTGGGGCTCCTCTAACATACAGTACTCCCTCCATCCTAAATTATAAGGACTATATTTTTTTACACTGTCTTCAATGACATAGTTTAACCATTAATTTATTACATGTTATGTTCCTAACAAATATGAAATTAGCATAACATGAAAGTACTTTAAAATATAAATAAAGTGATATAACATGCATAATACTTAGCATATATATGGTTAGTATAATTATTAGTTAAAAGTTAACGAGTTTGATTTTCCTTAAAAAGATGGTGTCCTAAAATTTGGGACAGAGGGAGTACATCGTAGGAACGTTTCTCTCTAACGTGTGAGCCCATGAGAGTAGACCCACCTATCGGCAACTCTTCACTCTTCACTATCTGCTTCCATCTTCTCTATAATAACCATCTCAACCTCATCTCACTCCTCTCATTATTTGGTTGTATATGCCTTGTGTTACTCCATCGCTACCAGGATTAAATTGCTAAAAGGTACCCTTCCAGAGATATAAAAATGTCTCAAGGCAATGGCTTTACATATAATGCAAATTAGGAAGTGTATAAAAAGTACACTTAAAATTGTTTATAAGTGTTTCCCGCCTGTAGAATTTATAACTTAAGAGGCGATTACAAATCGCCTCTAATCAGAAAAGTGCCTCTAAATTTTTATGTGCTGTACTGTTGATGGATGAACTTTTTTTTACAGTTGTTATGATGTTTTCACTTGGGTTTATATGTTACATTATGCATTGTCAGTGTTGTTTAAAATCTGAAATATCATAACTATAGCAAAGGTTATGCCAAAATTTTGCCTCACTTTTCCATCAATATTTCTATTTTTTGTTACTTGAAACTTTTCATTTCCACAAAATAGATTGGTATTGGGTCAAATCAATCGAAAAACAAAAAAAGGTTGGTTTTGGGCGTAAACCAGTTTGTTTTCGTTGTCGGCTCACTCGTAACCTTTTCTAATAATAGAATAACATTTTATCATTTGCTAAACGAGTTACAACTAATTATTACAAATTTACACGTAAACAACTGGTTAGCTTTGGAACTCATATTTCGTTTTGCAAAACTTCAATGGATTATGTTGACAAAAGCAACCGGTTCGATCTCATGGTTTTAGTTGATTGGATGGGTGTCATACTCCCAACAGAGATCGCATTTGTAAACCCTGTCCACGCACGGGTCGTGTTCAAGCTCAACAAAGTTGGAGTTGGTTGGGAAGGTAGGTACGGTACGGCGCTACCCCAAAAGGCCAGGAGCCATAGCAGCCGTGGCCAAACAGCATGCATACGTACCACGTTTAAGCCTAAATTCACCGACTCCATCATTCACTTGATTCATTGGTAGTTCCTCTATCTAAAATAAAGTTATTTCTATCGCTTAACTTTTTTAAAAAAAAATAAAGATTTTTTTCACCTATCTCTTATCTCAACTAATCCTAATTATTATTCGTTTATTATTTATTTATTTATTCCTTAACTAAATCACATACTTTAACTAATCATTGTCACCTATTTCTTAATTTCCTTATCCAACTTTAAAAATATTTATATTTTAAAACATATATAATAGTAAACAATTAATTACTACATTCGTCTCACGATATGGTAGATTTTGGTTATATATCTGGACATACACTTGCCCAGATATAAAGTTATACGATATTATTTTTTGATACGTAGATAGTAATAAGTATGTATAACTATATTTAATTCTGGAAATGTTATATTTTAGGACGGATATGATGTAATATGAAACAGTTAATAAGCATATATGCATGTGTGTGAACCGTGATGGAAAAAAAAAAGGTACGAGCACTAGCTTAACCATATCATTGGTTGGTGGCGATGCCACAACCGCAGTCAAAAGTGGTAGTGGTTGGAGTGTGCGCGCATAGTGTTAGCCGACGCATGCAATTTTATTTGCGAAATAAGGAGCTTATGACAAGGTGTGACGAAAATTGTTTGTTCCGTGCACCACTTGCGCAAGTAACATGTGGCCACCTACCACGGCGCCCAGGTGGCCGGTATAGAATATTAGGCTGATCGATGAGTTCGTGCGAACCAGCCACTTTTTAGCGCTGGGTCAAACTTTGAATCTCGCAACTTTGCACCAGCACACATTGCAGGTTGGGTGCAACAACCGCGCGCCTGTGGCTGTGTGAGCCGTGGTGCATCGTACGTGTGTGTGCAAGTAATTAATTGTCCTACTAGCATATGTTTCCCACTGTTCAGGGGCGGACAAAAAAAGTTGTATGTACTGCTGTAGAGTTTTTATTTTTGAAATTCGTAAGATTTTTTTGAAGTAAGAAATAGGGTTGAGTTATCAACGGTCGTTTCGCGAAATCTTGGATATATTAATGACAAGCACACACAAGAGACAAAAAAAAGTATTTGTCCTATGTTTTCTTCCCCTTTTTTATTCTTTGATGTTGAAGGAGAGCCGATGAGATATTGAAGGTTCTTATTTGAACGAAGTACATATTAATACACTAGAAAAAAATTACAAGATTATAATCCTATGAGGCCGTAACTAGGAAAAGGAAAAAAAGTATAGCACCACTCACACACCGACAGCGCCAAATACAAATCCAGGAGAAGGGTAACACCGGACCGGCCGCCGCTAGGCCAACAAACGAATTACAACTGGGATCGCCCGAAACCCAACCCTTACAACCGACAAAAAAACATTTCTTAGGGATTTAGGGAGAGAGGGTGAGAAAGAAGAATGGAACCACTCCCCCCTAGGCCCTCCGACGTGGCTAACTTGTATAAACTAGGGCGTCGATATAAGAGGATGTAACTCTAGAGCGAGCTTGCAGCAGATGTTTGGGTGGTTCCGGTAATGGTGCTGCCTAGAGGGTGTCTCCAGAGAGAGAGAAGCGACGAAAGCACCACCGCCACCGACCCACCGTCCGTCGTGGTCTCAAGAACATTGACTGGGCTTTCACCCGGCAGCCCCACTAAAAAGGGTGAGACGGCACGACAACACCCTCAAGAAGGGGAGTGACACTCGAGCGCCATCGTTGCCTACCTTGGGTTTTCACCCGCCATCCACCGCTTGCCAATCCACCGTTGACACACCGATGCTCCACCACCATCTAAACCTCTGCCGGCGCGTGAGCACCACTGCACCGCCGCCCCCGCCGGCCAGCCTCCACATGCCACCACCGACCGCGCCTCGTCGCCTCTCGCTACGCCGGCCACTGCCTCCACCGACCCGAGCCTCCCCGGCGTACATCGCTAGTGGCCGTTCCGGCGCCTCCTCGCGCCGTGGGCACCTCGTCGGTCGTCACTGTCGCCACCGGCCGTACCTCTAGCCGCTGCCACCGCCGACCGCACCTCCATCCACTGTCATTGCCGGCCACCCGCTGTCACTGCCATCACCGCGAGCCCTGCGTTGTCGCGATCTCCGCTCCCGCTCGCTGCCGTGACGGGCTCTCCCACCGCGAGCTCGCCCCACTCGATCTGGCCGCTGAGGGGCCAGATTGCCTCCGGGGATGTCGGATCCGCCCCGCCGTCGCCATCCCTACCGCTGTTGGTCACCGTGTAACGCTCTGCTTTTCGTGAGACGTTAAAAACTAATTCGGCAAAATCCTAATTGCGAAAATTTCGTTCTTTGAGTGTTGAGTCTAAGTTGTGCCAAAGATCTCAATTTAAATCCCTCCCTTGTCTCGATACCCTGTTATCAAAGATCGTCTCCTCAAAATTTCCATCCCAATATAGTCCCGAAGCTCGATTCCTTATATTCGGAATCCCCTCTTGGAACCCCATCCGTGAACTTTGTCGAATGCCCGAACCCTAACTCCGTCCAAGGATTCACCTTCGCGTCATAAGCTCTCTCCTTGGTTCCTTCAAACCGATTCTCAAATTCGAATTCAACCTCTCAGGTTTTGATTCATCTATCTTTCTCCCTGTATTGGTTCATCAATCTACCCTTGTTCTCTTTCTCGAACTTCTGATCCAAGTCTGAATATGCAAATCGAGATCACTTCCACCCTTGAACTCAAAATCCCAAGATTCAATCCCTTTCGCCCTGAGTTCTCCCCAAAATGATTTCCGTTCCGAAATAATCTCGAAGTCCGAACCCTTCTATTCAGACTTCTCTCCAAAATCCTTACCACATATCTCGTTGAGTAGTCAAACACAAACTCCCAAGTTACACTCTCTTTCTCTAAATTATCCATCCCCTTTTGACTCGTCTCCGAATATTGTTCCCTTCCTTGACTCCTTCCTATTCTCCCGAGACCGAGTATCAACCTCGAAATTCGAATCCAGACTCCAACCCTAAAACCTCCCAATTAAATCTCTCTGTGAAAGTCTATTTAACCTCCCTCATAGGTTGGATACCTTCATCCTTTTTCCGGTCCACCTCTTCCTTCTCTTCCATCCCATCTCTCCCTGAGTCTCGATCTATCTATCTATCGATCGATCCATCTATCTATCTACTATACCTATCTATCTGTTTATCTATCCATCTGTCTATCTGTCCCTCTACCTATCAACCTACCTTTCTGTCTATCTATCTATCCATGGCATTCTACCGCTATCTTCCTTGTTCCATTTTTGAATAATGATCTTCCCTTTTTGAAATCCTCTGAAATAATCCTTCGTGCCGCCAAATATAAATCCATCCCAAAAATACCAAAATTCCCGCTTTTGAAGCCCTTCCTTGACCCCTCCCTTGGATCCACCTTGAACCCTCGTGTACAAATATACAAATTGAATTCAAATTCAATCTCCACATCAAACTTCTCTCCAAATCAAACCTTCCGGTAAAAGTCTATTTTACCTCCCTCGTGATGATTTGGGCCGAAACCTGCCGCTGGCCCATCTCTTCTCAGCTCCCTCCATCTCCACGTGCGCCGCACGTGACCACCGAGAGAGAGAGAGAGCGCTGTCTCTCTCTCCCTTCCCTCTCTCGGACGTTCTCTCGCTCTCTCGTCCTCTTCCTCTCTCTCGCTGTCTCTCTCTCTCTCTCGTTCGATCTCTCTCTCC